TTCAAAAGGTTGGCTCTTAATATTTGTTTTTAAGTCTTCTTCAAATTTTAAAGTATATTTTCTCTATTTTGCGATTTGACCAGTATTTGTGTTCAATTAATTAAAAACATTAAGAAGATTTTGTATGTAAAATTACATTCTTTTAAAACTTGATCTCGAGAGTATATATTAAGGTGAAACAATTCCTTCCCAAGTTAGTTTATGCGCTTATAATTAATATTTGTACTTTCTATTTGTCTTCACCAAGGAAAAAAAAAAAGACATTGTTATTTGTTTTTATTTTTTCATTTAAATGGATATGTTAATCATAAAATAATTCGATATCTTCATTTTTGTTTGTTATTTTAAAAACTTTTATAAAAAAAAAAAACAAATACTTTAAACTATCAACCTACTTCACCTCGTTTACGACCCTATCTTGTACGATAAATTACTTTAATTAATCAACCTTTTTGAAATTTATATAACCTTAAATCAATAAAACGTGTTTAAAATACAAACTTATTTAGTATTTAGGGTTATATATTCATTAAGTGTTATAAAAAAACGTTTACTGTTTATGAATGCTTACAGCTTATAAAACGAGTTATGCTTTCTTTCATCTAATCCTTAATTATGTTCCAACCAATGTTCTTTAAATTTGAAGTCGGCTTTAAAATTGAAGGAACTTGATGATGCATAAGTCAAATTAATACAAAGCCTAAGTAGGACAAGATCAATTAAATTGACCCAAACAATTGACTAAACAAAATAATTAAATTATTAAAAAAGTATCCCAACATGTCCAACTAGATCAAATTGATGGGTGATTAGTGAATTAACTAGGTAATTCTTCTTGGTGTACTTGTCGAATTAGATATCTATATCATCTGTAACTAACTGGTTTTAAATTAGGGTTGAATCGGTCAGTGCAAATTTTTTATGGTACCAGTATTTAAAAAATGCTAAATTCAAAACATTTGATGCCATAAAGTATTGATAGACAATAAGTATAAGCATATAATTAGTTGAACATAAAAGGAGTAATATATTTGTTAGTTTACAGCGGATCAATATCTTAATAAACGATCAAGAATATAATGAAAATATATATATACAAGTCTACAAAAATTTATGTTATTTGTATGAAAAAGCATTTGAGTTTGGAGAAGAACACGATGGATATGATTTTATCAAAAAAATTTCTTTAATAGCGTTTGACTTAGAGACTTAGCATTCAAGTATTTTTAGGAGTAGTTTGAAAGAAAGATTTTAGAAAGATATAGATAAATTTTTTATCTTAAGTAAATATATTTAAAATTAATATTTTAAAATAAAAAAATTAAATTAATATACTAATTAAAATTTAATATATTAATTACATATTTATTATCGTAAATAATATGACATATAATTTTTTAATTTAAATTAAAAATATTTTTTTCCTTTTTCTTTCAAATTAGAGGGTGAGTTCGATAATGGAAGAAAATGGGTATACAATGAGTGTTTTTACAACTAAAGAAAATTCATACCCTAATCAAGTCTTATTATCCTTGATGACCCAAATCGTAATTAGTAATAATATTCTAAGACTGGGCTTATAGCCGGTTTATTTCAACGTTAAAACCTTATTTTTACAATTTTTAAGATACCAAAATGGATTTTTTATTTTTATACAACCAAAAAACTTGCTTCAGTCAAACGAATTGCACATTCAAGCCGTTAACCTAAATCATCAACCATGGAGGGTTGGGCATGGGTGGAAAGTTACAGTATATTGTGGCGTTCTAATAAAAGATTTATGGAGTAAAGGAAAAATGAGTTAAGGGTTAAAATGTAAAATAGAAAAGTTAAAGGAATTAAAAAACTGTGCATCCACGTATCTCAGTTTGTGTTCGTACCTTTTCTCGTGATAGAGTAAAAACAGTCAACTCGAGTCCAATTAAAAACAGCCCCTTCTGTACAATCGCAAGTTGTAATAAACTCCCTGTGACCCTGTGTTTCACCCTGTAATATTTTTTCATTCTAAATTTATTTTTTTTAAAATGTGTACAAATTATAAATCTATATATATTTCTTTTAACTCTAACTTCATATCATTTAGAATTTTTAAAATTTGATAAAGTTTCTTTTAATCATTTTAAACTATTTCATATTCTAATTCTATTACCAATCTTATAAAAATTTGAATAAATAAAATATATATAATGACTAATTTGACATTGACAATATAAAAAATATTATTAGTAAAAATAACTAATAACTAAAATATACAATTTATTCATTTTCATTATTTCACAGTGGGAATAATGGGGATTATTCTCTTTTATCACAGTTTTTAAGAATACCATTATGATTTTTAATCAAGCTTAAACTAAAAAGAAATTGTAAATACTTGTTACACAATCATTGAATTGCTTCTAAACATTATTAAACTTCACGTTCTATAACTATGGTTCCTTTTTTTTAGCAAAACATTATAGTTATAATAAAATATTCACTGCATATTAATAGTTAATAAGTCATTGTTAAGATGAATATCAATTATGACTTCTGATAAATTGTACTTATAACGTTAATGATTCATATTCTAAAGTTATTACTTTATAAAGTTCATATTCTAACCTTAAGCCATCAAAATAGTATTTATTTAAACGGGATTGCTTTTCTGGACGTATTTTTTGAATATCATTATCATTAAATAAATATATAAAAGAAGATATATAGTGTTATGTCAAAGTCGCAATTGGATTGATTACGCAAATTTTGGCCGGATGATGGCAGTTGAGGGTTTTGGAGTGCCACATTAACGAGTTGCAATGAACCAGTGACATTATAATGCTATGTTAGTGATGTAATAATTGTATATTAAGTGCAGGAGTAGTAAGAATCCAATTATGATCTATACACATTCTTCTCCTTTTTTTTGGCCACTGATGTAGACTAGTTGGTGACCATGTTCATGATAGGACAATTATCTTATGCTGCTGGGGTTTAGGGGAGAATCCAAGGAAATTGTGCTCAGGATAAAAACAATAATGTAAATATTTTAATTTTACATATATAATTGGTTTCAAATATCATATTTTAATTATAGATATAGATTGAATTAATAATCTTTTAATATGTATTATTAATTTTTTTTAGAGATATAATGAGTTAAAATAATCTTTGTATTCATATTTTATCTTTAATAAAATATTGATACTTAAAAAAAATATTTATCATATTATATATCCAAATAAAATGATTCACTTTCTTTAAATGAGTAGTTCTCTAAATTTATGTGTACTAACAAATATAATTAGAGGTTTTATAAATGATAAAAAAAATAGAAGTATTTTACTGATTTTAATTTTAAAAATTATTATATCTTTTTATTAATAAAATTTATAAAAAATAAATAATTGTTCTGTCATTGGACGCACTAAAAATATGTTTTTTTATATTTTTATTGTTAAATTACTTATTGTTAATTTAATTTTTCTAACAAAAATCAAACTATTAGTATAGATACTATAAGTTTAAATTAACGATAAAATTATTAATATATTTCACCTGTCTCCTTTTAAGCCTTAAATAAATCTAAGGACCAGATCGATTATTTATCTTCAAATTTAACTCAGACATAACTCGCTTCTTTTTAGGTGTGAAGCAGTGTCAAACTAAACTATCCAACAAGCATTAGCTCTCCCTGAAAAGGAGGTGATCCAGCCGCAGTACAGCTACCTTGTTACGACTTCACTCTAGTCACTAACCCTGCCTTCGACATCCCCTCCTTGCAGTTAAGGTAATGACTTCAGGTATGGCCAACTCCCATAGTGTGACGAGATATAATATATTTTCATAATTTTTAAAATTTATATTGGTAATTTAATTTTTATTAAACAATATTACATTAAAAAAATCTTACTACTTAACATTTATTTATTTATTAATAAATGATATTTTTATATAATTTCGTAATCTTCAAGAAGGTACTTTCATATGAGATATTTATTGAGTTGAGGCCACCCACATATTAAATGTTGAATGCAAATTGGGCGAAGCAAGATTGGGAGATCAAATATACGGTTTTGCTTGTATTTAAAAATAAGTTTAATAAAAAAACTAATTATAAATTAGTAAAATAATTTATTTATATTTAAAAAAATAGATACAAATTAATGTTAAAGTTACATGCGAATTAGTCTCATCTTAAATAGGATATTAACACATTATGAATTTACAATGACATTAATTTATTCATTTATTGCTTTAAGATTTTAGAATTACATTATAGTAGTGTTGTCTTCGGTGTAAGGTTTTTAACTTAAAATTCTCTTATTCCAATTCTGCTATTGAGTGATCAATCTAAATGACCGATTTGGATGAGTAAATTTAATTGAATGAATTTGTTAATCCTAAATCAAAGAAATTTGTTGATTTAATCTTCAATTTATATTCTTTTAAAAAAATAATGTCCAAACATGATAATTATTTGACCATAATTTTAGAAATATTTTTGTCTCAGGAGGTTAAAAAAAAGGTTATTTTACTGGCATTTGATTATATAGCGTTTTGGTCCGAAATTATTAATAGAAACAAAAAACTGTAACGAAAACGATGTATCTAATAAATAAAAAGTAAAAATAGAAGGGGGGTGTTTCGTAGTTGGTGCATTTCTAAAGTAAAATATTTTTGTGTAGCTTGTAATGCATCCCAGTGCTTGTCCCCAACTACTTGGTTTCTTGTCCACAATAGAAGGTGACATGGATCGGGTCACACCCAGCTAGGCAGCTAAGAAGTAAGGAGTTAAATCTGAACGTAGGCACATGAGAAGGTGCCACATCGCAAAATATGAGCCGCTGATCTATGCCCACGATCGAACGCCTGTCATTATTTTTCCACCAACCCTCTTTCTCCTTGCGCATGATCGTTGCCACCCTTTATGCCCACCTACCAAACACCAACGCTCCAGATTCAAAACGACCCCAACACCCTCTATTATATAACCCCCCCACTCTCTCTCCCATTCCCTCAGGAAATCCGTAGTTCTCTAACCAAAGATTTCCTATTCAATTCCTCTTCTCGATACCTCCATTTTCCTACCTAGCTAACTAACTCTATCACTACTCCTTCATCGTTCAAATATTCTTTAACATGGACGGAGCCAATGGCAGCGTTGCAAACCATGACGCCGCTTTTTGCTTGAATACTAACAATAATGTCAGTGCTGACCCTCTCAACTGGGGTGTGGCTGCTGAGTCCATGGCCGGGAGCCACTTGGACGAGGTCAAACGTATGGTGGCTGAGTACCGGAAACCGGTTGTCCGCCTCGGCGGAGAGACGCTCACGATTTCTCAGGTGGCTGCTATCGCCGCACATGACCAAGGGGTTCGTGTCGAGCTCTCTGAGTCTGCTAGGGAAGGGGTTAAGGCCAGCAGCGACTGGGTCATCAACAGCATGAACAATGGCACTGATAGCTACGGTGTCACCACCGGGTTCGGTGCTACCTCCCACCGACGAACCAAACAAGGTGGCGCCTTGCAGAAGGAGCTTATTAGGTAACTAATTCACTTCATCCTTAAAGATCTGTGTATTTACATCATTATTTCGTTTTTCATATTTTTTTTGTTTTATCCTTTTTATATCTTAAATAATTTTTTATTTTTTTTAACCCATGCTTAAGAATAAACAGTAAAAAAAATTATAATAATAAGATTTTATAAAAAAAAAAGTAATCTAATATATTAATAATTATTTAATATTTCAATTTTTAATAAATTTAATTATTTGTTGATATTTTTATAATTATAATTTTATTATTTAAATCATAAAAATTTAACCTAACATGTAATATGTATTGTTTTTAGTGTGAATATATTTTGACACCCCTCAAATAGATATTATTTGGGCGTGAAAAATACAAATATATATATATATATATATATATATATATAATGATATGAGAAAAAAAATAAAAAGTGAATGAAAATGAGCTAAAGAAAATTAAGGTGGAATAATAATGATAATATTATTATTATTTACGTGTCTCTGAACCTTTGCACTTCATGAATACTATCATCTGGTCACGATATATTATTATACGTACGTACTTACACGTAGACGTGCCCCATTTCGGCCTTTTCATGTTACTGCACTTTTCCATCCAAGTTAATGAATGTTTGTGGCTCGGCTACCTAATTAGCTAAAGAAAAACGTGAGCAATAAACTTTTTAACACATTATATATAAATATATTTATTTATTTATTTATCAACTATAATTTATTAAAAGTTAAAAATTATTAAATTAGAAGTTAACAAAATAAGACTACGTTAAATGACGCGTTGTTAGTAATTTTTAATTAACTAAATGATAAACATTCGCTACCTAATGAATCTTTAACCAACCTAATTATTCTTATTATTCAGAGATTCTCGTGGTTGAGAAACGAAGTTGAGAAGCTGTCTTACCTTAATATAGCAAATACTTTATTTTATTAGTGAAGGAGTTCGTTTTCTTTCATCTTAAGAAAATATAACATTTTCTAGTATTATGAATAATTTTTTCTTATACTGTCACATATTTTTCTTAAAATATTTACAAAATCGTCATTAAAATAATATTTGATTAATTTAGTCATTTTAAAATAAAAAATAAATTCCCGTGGTTTTATAATTTTTTTAATAAAACATTTTTATATAATTCAAGATATCTGTTAAAGCATTTTATAAAGAATAAAATTGACTGCAATATCGGTTCACATTTCCTACGATTTTGAATAGATTATCATTTTATATTAATAATAGGAAACTCTATATTCTCTTTTTTGATATAAATAAAAGAAAACGTTTTTCAAACGAATACATTTTATCAACATAATTGTTAAAATATCATGTTATTTGGTAAAAAAACACGTTTTGGCCATGAAAGAGAAGGAATAAAAAATTGAATAGTAAGTTGGCCACTGAGGCGCTTGGATCTGAAATTCGTACAAGGAACCGAGTTGGATCAGTTAGTTTGCACGTGACGCGGGGTTGGTGAGACCGCCTTGCCTTCTACCATTCCAAGTCCTAAGTCGCAAGTGCAACCCTCCACCTTTGACCCCGTAGTTCCCCCTTTTTTTTTCTTTTCCTATTTTAATTTTCTTAATTTTAAATATTTTTGACTTTTTGCGATGATCTCACCTAACTATATAATAGGAAAATCTTCGTAATTTGAATTAAACTCATTTTAAAAATATAAATAAAAACAAGGCATTTTTTTAGTGGTATAAATAGTATTTTTCACATACAAGGTTAGTTAATGAGCAGTAATTGTTGAACAAAATTCATCATTCTTATTATTTTGATTTCAGGTTTTTGAATGCTGGAATATTTGGCAACGGTACAGAGTCCAATTGTACCTTACCACACACAGCAACTAGAGCAGCTATGCTAGTAAGAATCAACACTCTTCTTCAAGGGTACTCAGGCATTAGATTTGAGATTTTAGAGGCCATAACCAAGCTATTGAACAACAATATTACCCCCTGTCTGCCACTTAGGGGTACAATTACAGCATCTGGTGATCTTGTTCCTCTTTCTTACATTGCTGGTTTGTTAACTGGTCGACCCAACTCCAAGGCTGTTGGACCTTCTGGAGAGATTCTGAATGCTAAGGAAGCTTTTCAATTGGCAAACATTGGTTCAGAGTTCTTTGAATTGCAACCTAAGGAAGGGCTTGCCCTTGTCAATGGCACTGCTGTTGGTTCTGGCTTAGCTTCTATTGTTCTCTTTGAGGCAAATGTCTTAGCTGTTTTGTCTGAAGTTTTGTCAGCAATTTTTGCTGAAGTGATGCAAGGGAAGCCTGAGTTCACTGACCATTTGACCCATAAGCTAAAGCACCACCCTGGTCAAATTGAGGCTGCTGCTATTATGGAACACATTTTGGATGGAAGCTCTTATATTAAAGCGGCTAAGAAATTGCATGAGATTGATCCTCTGCAAAAGCCTAAACAAGATCGTTATGCATTAAGAACTTCACCCCAATGGCTTGGTCCTCAAATTGAAGTGATTAGATTTTCAACTAAGTCAATTGAGAGAGAGATAAACTCAGTCAATGACAACCCTTTGATTGATGTTTCAAGGAACAAGGCTTTGCATGGTGGTAACTTTCAAGGCACTCCCATTGGAGTCTCAATGGATAATACACGTTTGGCTATTGCATCAATTGGCAAGCTCATGTTTGCTCAATTCTCTGAGCTTGTCAATGATTTTTACAATAATGGGTTACCTTCAAATCTCTCTGCTAGTAGAAATCCCAGCTTGGATTATGGTTTCAAGGGATCTGAAATTGCTATGGCATCTTATTGCTCTGAACTCCAATATTTGGCCAACCCAGTAACAAGCCACGTCCAAAGTGCTGAGCAGCACAACCAAGATGTGAACTCTTTGGGTTTGATTTCATCTAGGAAAACCCATGAGGCTATTGAGATCTTGAAGCTCATGTCTTCCACTTTCTTGATTGCACTTTGCCAAGCAATTGACTTGAGGCATTTGGAGGAGAATTTGAAGAACACTGTGAAGAATGTTGTGAGTCAAGTTGCCAAGAGGACTCTTACCACAGGTGTCAATGGAGAACTTCATCCTTCAAGATTTTGTGAGAAAGATTTGCTGAAAATTGTTGATAGGGAGTATATATTTGCATACATTGACGACCCATGCAGTGCTACATACCCATTGATGCAAAAACTAAGGCAAGTGCTTGTGGATCATGCATTAGCAAATGCAGAGGGAGAGAAGAACTTGAACACATCAATCTTCCAAAAGATTGCAACATTTGAGGATGAGTTGAAGGCCCTCTTGCCAAAGGAGGTTGAAGGTTTAAGAGTTGCATATGAGAATGGCCAATGTGCAATTCCTAACAAGATTAAGGAATGTAGGTCTTACCCATTGTACAAGTTTGTGAGAGAGGAGTTGGGGACAGCATTGCTAACTGGTGAAAAGGTTATTTCACCAGGTGAGGAGTGTGATAAATTGTTCACAGCAATGTGCCAAGGTAAAATTATCGATCCTATTTTGGAGTGCCTTGGGGAGTGGAATGGTGCTCCTCTTCCAATTTGTTAGTTCATGATCTGTTTCCTTGAGAAGTGGTTTCCTTCTATATGTGTATTTTGTGTTGATAAGCATTTGGTTTGTCTATAAGCCTGTGACAAATCAATCTACAGACAACTTTCGGTTTCCCTTGATGTCAAGGAACTTGTAATTCATGTTGTAATAGAATCTCATTTGTTTGTCATAGCTTTGTCGTGCAAATACTAATACACGTCCTTTGATATGAAGGACGCTTTTTTTTTCCTGAATAAGAATTATTATTTCATTATACTAATGCTCAGATTTAAAAAAAGGTTTTACATTTATGTGATTATCTCTAATGTGCTCATTTATTTTAGTGCAAATCATTAAATGCGGTCGAGCAAGTTATCCTATATATTCACACAAATCCTTCCACTTGCAAGATCATGATTCTAACTCAAATATGACATACAAAAGTTCCATTTTTTAAATGTCTAAATACAACTTGCTACTTACACTTGTGGTCACATTAATTAGCAAATAAATCCTAGTTTCTTTGCTTTGTGGGGATCCTAAATAGCTGGAAATGGTCCAATGTCCTTTTTTGTGCCAAAGATAATAATGAACTACCTAAATTTCTTACTATTAGTTATAAGAAACAGGGAAATAAGTTGTTAAACACTAAAAGCATGCTGATAATGACAATTATGAGACAAAAATGTTGTCAATGCTAAATTGCCAATGCTTTGTTAGAAATAGAAGCGTGGACTTTTTGCAATGGAGCAGAATTTTTTGAATTTTTTTAAATTATTTAAAGTTTTTTATTTTTAATCTCAATGTTTCATTTAACTTATATTTAATAAGTTATAATTTATTATTTTATTAACTTTTAGACATAAATTAAATAAAAGGTTCAAATATAAAAATTTGTATACTTGAGTGAGAAATTTTTCTTCCGCTATTCTCGTAACTCAACCAAAAATCAAACATGATTAATAGAATGCGAATATGGAAAACAACTAAATTAGAGGTGAATTATAGCAAGAATATCATGAATCGTACAAGAGCGTTGTCTTTAGGGATACAGGTCTTCCCTAATTGGAGCGATACTAGATGATGCAATAGTAATGGCTTTACTGGTTAAAAATAATAATTAGGTATCATGAATAGTTCACATATCAGAGCCGTTCATTTTATTTTAATTTATAAAATGAATATTTTGTAATATAAAATAAACGACTTTAATCTGTAAACAATCTATGGTTACAAGTCCCTAGATGTTATATAGATGAGTTTCCCTTCAGGATTAAGCACTGGTCTCGTTTCAAACTTGTTCACGTGAAATACCCGTCAACTTGAGAAATAAATTAATACACAAAAAGAGAAGTGGTTTTACAGTCCAAAAATATTTTTTAATTCAAAATTTAACATGTATTTGTTATTATTATCATTATATTTCTAAACTTGAATCACTATAGTTCAAAATTAAGTGAATTCGATAATGAATTTTGACATCATTTATTATTTTTTTCCTACCCTATGCACAGTCTGTTGAAATAATTTTATTTATAATAATAATAATATATATAATATTAATTGGTGTAAAAAATATGTTATTTTTAAAAAAATATCAATTATAAATATTATTTTGTCAGAATTTTTTTATTTAGCTATTATAGTATTGGTTGAAAAAAAAATACAACAGTACATATATTACTTAAAAAATATGACTTATTAGCAATAAATTTCAGCAACAAATGCGTAACAAATATATGTGTAGAAAAGTATAAACGTGTGTATTAAATTTAAATAAAAATTTAGCTCTATCATGCTATAAATATTGTTGGTTTTCAACGTAATTATTTTCAATGAAATATAGGTATGATTCTAATTTTAAATTTTATACATTCTTTTTTTTATTTTAATTAAACACATGAATTAACAGATTGAAGATTGTTTAGATTAAACTGTGGTCTTTCAGTTCAAATTTCAATAAACATAAATGTGTTAAATATTTTGAAAAAAAATAATTTACCGCTTATAATTTCACAATAAATTATATTATGTTACAATTCATTCATTGAAATTTATATAATACAATTAATTTAAAATTTATAATTAATCGTATTTATAATTATACATTCAAGTATCCTATTACTAAAAAAATTTATTTTATTTTATAAAAATATTAAATTAATTGATACACAATTGAAGGTAAAATTTAATATTAGCAATTGTAGATTTTTATTTTAATAATACATAATTACATAATCAGTTATTTAATTTAATTTTTTATTTATTATGTTAAAAAATATATTAAATTAAAATATTTCTTTAGTATTATATAATTGGTCATTCATTTTTTTTATTTTCTCATTCTTATTTCTTTTTTTCTCTTACTCCCTCCTTATCATCTATGCCTCCACAATTTCTTTCTCTCCCTTTTAAACTTTGACATAATTTTGTTTGTTTCTATTCTCTTTTTTTTCTCCATTTTACTTCTTGTTTACACTTTTTTTTTCCTTTAAACTCCAACAAAAGTATCTTGTTTTTTCTTTTACTTTTCTTCCTTCTCGTACCCCATTCACACATCCCTAAATTGTTTTTCACCCTTTCAAACTAAGATAAAAATATTTATTTTTTAGTGTATTTTTTGATTGAATCTTAAAGTCACAAGAGAAGATTAAAAACAAAGCAATTACAATGCGTCAAACACAAATAATGTACCACGCTGAATGTTATTGTTGTTGTCTATTTTTTTTATAAACCTTGAGATTTAATTGGAAAACTTACACATACACATGTATAAAAAGTTTTTCTTTTTTTTTTTTTAAGTTCAAAGAGGGTGGTGTGAAATTGTGGATAAAGAGTAAGAGAATATTTTTTTTAGAGTTCGAAGAAAAAATATGTGTGGACAAAGGACAAAAGAAGAAGAAAAAGAAAAAAAAATAATGTATCAAAATTAGGGAGAGAAATAGGTCACTGAGGTATAGATGAAAAGTAAAAAAAGAAAAAATAAAGAATAGAAAATAAAAAAAATAAACAATTAAAAATTTTATCAACATTTTTGTTGAGATTCTTATAAAAATAAATAATAATTTTTAAACATAGTTAATATTTTTTTCTATAAAAAAAAACTAATTTAGAAGTTGAGCTTTATCTTTGAATAACATTTTTATGAAACGGAGTTGAATTTGAATTTTTATTTTTGGTCATAGCCCATAGAAGTCTGCCATTCGCATCATGTCAATTTAAATGGGATAGGTAGCAATTGAAGAAAAAAACAAGAAGATCGATAACCTTTTAAATGTATTTTTTCTTTTTGAGCTTTAAACTCTTTTTTTTTTTTTTTATCTGGGTAATTTCGTTGCAGTATTTTCGTAAAAATTCTAGCATCTCAACGCGTAAAAAGGAAAACAAGTAAATAATTAATTTAAAAAATACAAGGAGTAGCACGTGGCACGTTCTTGTTGGCCGGGCCAGACCTTTTGCGCCTTCCGCGTTAGAATCTTAAACTTTTTCGAACCCATCGCGTGGAAGAGAATTGCGCACGGTAATTATTTTGCGCTGGTTAGAAAAGAAGAAGAATAATAATAATAATAATAAATAATAATATTAATAATTTGGGTTCCGTATTGTGTTATTGTTGTTGTGCGTGAGAAAGTGAGCGCGGTCAAGTATGGCTTCTCAGCTCCTAAGACGAACCCTCGGAAGCCGCTACCTGGCAAACCCTAAGGCCTTCTCCTCCGTTTCCACTCCGATCCGTGCCACTCTCTTCCCCGGCGATGGTATTGGCCCCGAGATCGCCGAATCTGTTAAACAGGTTCGTTTTTCTCTTCCTTCCTATTCACCGCTTTCTCCCTCTCTGACTCAATCAAATTCATTGTTGCGCCTTTTTGAGAGATGTGTAATGCTTGCAATTCTGATGCGATGTCGTGATCATATGTAATTCTGTGAATTTTTTTTTTTTGTGTTTCTGATTGAATGGCTTATTTTGTTTTTACGGAGAATTACCTCGTCTTAGAAAAATAACATTTTCAGGTAAATGTGTTTTCCGAAGGATAAATTTTACAAAATTAAAGTAATTGGTTGAGGGGAATTCGTTTTCCCCTAATGTTGTTTTTAATGATTATTTTTAACGAACATAGCAAATGTTTTTATAAAAAAAATAGATAAATCGTCTGTATAATTTTTATTCCTTTCTAATTTTAGTTGTTAACGTGCGAGTGCAAGTGGCTTTTATTTTGAGGATAAATTTTTGTTTTGTATGGTTGCATAACAATGAAATTGCAAGATCTAAAACGTAAAAATGAATGCAGAGTGTGGACCGTCTGTCCATGACAAGCTTTTTACGTGTTTAACATGGTTTTTTATTTTATTATTTTCATTTCTAGTGAAAGATTTAGTATGACTAACTTTGTCATTGAAGTTAACAGATCCTTTTGTGGTAAACTCAAGTTTTATCTTCTGATATTTGTTTTTATATATTCACCAGTAATTTGGTCACTTCTATGATATAATATGAAGCACGGATAATGACAAGGACACACCAAATTTAAAAAATTGCAGGACGACGTGCACATGCAAACACAATTTAAGGAATAAGATTCATAATGCATAATACCATATATATAAGCTTTTAAGGTTTACAGTAACTTTTTGATATAAGTCATATGTGCCAAAGCTTGCTATTTTGCAAGTCCTTCTCAAAATACATAGAGCAACGTATGTGCAAATACTTTCTATCTAATGGTTTCTGCTAATTTACTTGCTTTAAGTGTATATTGGTTTATTTCACTTTTCTCGCTTTGCCATGGTTGTGGAATCTCTTGTGCACTCTGTTCATCTCCTCTTGGTTGCTATTAAGTGATCTCTGATCAAAATTCGCCATGCTTATTCTTTCTCACCTTTCTTCCTATGTTTGTTTCTTATTAAGTATATTTGTATATTCATACAATTTGACTTGTTTTGTTGAATTAAATGTGTAATGCTCTGTCACTTATTATTATTACTATTTCAATACTTAGATATTCAAAGCAGCTGACGTGCCAATAGAATGGGAAGAGCACTACGTAGGAACTGAAATTGACCCTAGAACTCAGAGCTTTCTGACATGGGAAAGTTTAGAATCAGTAAGGAAAAATCGTGTTGGCTTGAAAGGGCCAATGGCCACCCCTATTGGAAAAGGACATCGTTCATTAAACCTTACTCTAAGAAAAGAACTTAATTTGTATGCCAATGTTCGACCTTGCTACAGTCTTCCTGGATACAAAACTCGGTATGATAACGTAAATCTCATTACAATCCGTGAAAACACAGAAGGCGAATACAGTGGACTTGAACATCAGGTAAATTTCACAACAATTGATGTTACATACTATCATCCGAAATCTGATTAATATAATTTCTGTATCACTTTTTGGGTTACAGGTTGTGAGAGGTGTTGTAGAAAGTCTCAAAATTATTACACGTCAAGCAAGTTTAAGGGTGGCTGAGTATGCTTTTCACTATGCCAAGGCACATGGAAGAGAGAGAGTGTCTGCCATACACAAGGCCAACATTATGCAAAAGACTGATGGTCTTTTTCTCAAGGTTCACAAATATATACATATACACATACAAATGCCAACAATATTGGTCTCAAATTTTATTCATGAATCCTAATATTAACTGTTTATTTTAAATTCTTTTTAGTGTTGCCGTGAGGTTGCAGAGAAATATCCTGAGATAAAATATGAGGAAGTTGTCATTGACAATTGCTGCATGATGGTAATATTTTTGAACTGGATATAGGAAAAAATTAAAAAACTGCATTCGGAAATGCTTTTTCAGTATTAGGAAATGAATGACACTGATTAATTTTCTGACCATCTACAGCTTGTGAAGAATCCTGCACTTTTTGATGTATTGGTGATGCCTAACCTTTATGGTGATATTATCAGTGACCTTTGTGCTGGCTTGGTTGGGGGATTGGGCTTAACACCAAGGTATTTTTCGTATTTAAGTCAAAGAAATATAGGAGTAACAATTATATAATCTGACAGCATATTCTATTTTGCAGCTGCAACATTGGTGAGGGAGGAATTGCACTTGCTGAGGCTGTACATGGTTCTGCACCTGATATTGCTGGAAAGGTGAGCGGTGAAAGTACTTATTCTAGCTGATATTATTTGTTGTAACCCTTTTTGCATTGTTGTCATGGAATGTGAAATTGTTTTGTACCTGTGCTTGGCATGCGTTTGCGAGGAAGTGAATAGATGTGCATGCTTTTGGTACCATCCTAACTCAGGGTGGAAATGGGCTAAGCTATTGAATAGTCTTTGCATAAATAAGCATTGTTCTGTTTTGCAAATTGTTAGCCTGACCCTGACCATTATAGGCTTCATTTTTGGGATTGGCCTACCCCGAAAGCCAATTTAGAGGCTTGTGTTATGTTAAAGTCTTCAACCAGGCAAAGAAATTACACTTATTAATTTTTCAAATTGATATAATCTTTAACTACATTATTATATCGTGTATAAAATTAAGATATTATATTAATTTGTAGCAAATTGTGTATTATACATATAATATCATAGTAGTTAGTATCGTGATTCTACATGGTTCTGCAATTTAAGGATACAGATCATAGGGAGTATCAGTTTTGTTCCAGAATTGCAGACTGAATCACCCAAATCGTTGCTGAATCAAGATTTCTATGTCGATGCACGATTCTGCTGCAGATTGGGTTGTACATGACTTGCTTCATTAACAACCCTAAAAACATGTTTTTTTTTTTTAAGTTTTTTATTCGAAATGTGAGGGAATGATACTCCCTCCACAATGAGATCCACTATTATATTTTAGCAAAAAACCCTTGTTTTCTCATTCCCATATCTTTGCTCCTGTTCTCTACAAAGTTTGGTGCTTTTCCGTTTGTCTCCCAGTGCATTACTGTGGTTCTCTCAACTTCTCACTCCTTATTCATGATTCTGGTGGTCTCATGCCTCTTCAACAATTCTACCTACTTTTTAATTGTTTTCTTCTACTCGTTTTATTTGTTTGTTGTTTTGGAGACAAATGGATCTTACCAAAAAAATAAAAGAGAATGATGTTACATGGAGACATTGTGAAAGTGTCTCCCACACATGCCAATAGTGAAATGCAAATACCGTTCTCATGCTTGTTGGGGTAGAGTTGCAAGAATGAATCATCTAGATAGAACAATGACAAATGTAAGTGCTTGATTAAGTGTTCCAGATGAGGTCAAGGAGATATTCATTAAACTATTTGAAGATAAAGAAAAGAAAAAAAAGGTGAAAATAACTTGAGAGTATTTTGGAGAAATTGAGACCCAAGATTCAAGTGCTCATCAAAAGGGAAGAATGAATTCTTTTGTTAACAAAAGAAAGGAATGGACATTTAAAGCTCTGAAGCAAACAACAATGAATACAATGTTTGATGATGGAGATGATATCATTCAAAAAATTTGCAAATGCATATATGGTAATGATTACCATGTAATTTGGTAAGAGACCCCCATTTTATCAAATGTTAAAAGCTGTTGGAGAATTTGGTAGGGATTTAAAATCTTTTACTTATCAAGAAGTGAGTGTTTCCTTTTTGAAAAAAGCAAGTGATAGAATCTATCAAAATTTGGAGAAATACAAAAATAAATGGGAGAAGTGAGACTGCACTTTGATGTGTGATGGATGGACCATTTGAATATTTTTAGAGTCTAGAACTAGAAATTTTGACTTGCTATTGGTTATTATTTTTTGAAGGTAAATATAGCTGATTTATGTAGTCTTTCAGCCCTTTTCTTGTGGATTGATTTGAAGGTATATATGAATGATTTATGGAGTCATAGTCTTTTTTTTTGTATTATTGTGGCTGATTTGAAGGTACATATGAATGATTTATGCTGTCACAGTCCTTTTTTGGTGTCATTGTAGCTGATGTGACGTGAATCTTTATACTATATTTTTGTTTTATTAGTTATACAATAGAGTATTTGATTATAAAATGTCAATATATGGATGAATTTAATTTTTCTCTATGTTAGAATATTTTTTATTATAATTTTAGCAATTAGGCATGAAGCTTACAATCCACGATTTAGAAAGTCATGATTCAAATTTCAATTTAACTACCATGATATTAATAAAGAAATAGGTCAGCTTGGTAGGCCAAATGGGCTTTGTAAAAATCATATGCTTTTTAGCTCACCAAGTTGAATTTGTCTTTACTCTCTTTTTAAAAGCCTAAGCATGTCTTGTTTACTAACTAACCTAGGTGATGGTATATCAAAAATATGCTGGGGTGTTCATCCTTTTTCCTAATCAGAGCTGTTAATGGATTAATATTGAAAACACCATTACACAATTATTGTGTCTACTCTCAATTAGTAGTTTTTCTTTAGCATCTATACATGGTTTTAGTTATAAATATTATAGGGGTACAGAAGATCTAACTTGTATAAATTCTGCATTTAAAAATATATTGAAAAGGAAAAAAGGTGTTCCTGAAATATGAAGCTGATGAGACGTGGCAGAAAATTACAACAATTGAAGATGTGACAAAACCGTAGAAGTATTATTTATCATTTTGAAATTTATGGTATTGGACATTGCTTTTGTGACTAGGAAATCAACTTTAGTCTTGTATTTTGCTTCTAGATATTCAGGGATTCGATCATTAGTAAGTCATTGGGATATGTTGCATTATTTGTCTTTGTAATAATCCTCTGGCACTTTTTCTTTCCCAGAAGAAATGGAAAGTTTTAACGCTGTAATAAGTAATAAGTAACATTGTGGGTTCGATTAGTTGGACTCTTTTCTTGATATTTTTTTGTTTATTCAAATTAATCCCTTTCACAAAAAAAGAGTAGCCCTTTCAAGAAACCAAGCTACTAATTTGAGTTTCCCTTGAGAAAGTTCTGTCTATATATGGGTGTTCTCTCATTCTTTTGAAAATCATCTCATAATGGGGCGATAGTTAGGTTGTTGCCTAATGACTTGGTGGTTATTCTAATAGAAGCTGTAAAGTTGCATACATCTAACCCTGGTTGGCAACCTGGGTCACCTTTTCTTTACTTAAACATATACTGTAGCCATTCATTTAACCTGTTTATTTATGTAGAATTTGGCAAATCCAACTGCTTTGCTGCTGAGTGCTGTTACAATGTTGCGCCATTTGAATCTCACTGACAAAGCAAGCCAGATTCAAAATGCAATCCTTGACACGATTGCAGAAGGGAAGTACCGAACTGCTGATCTTGGTGGCAATTCAAAGACAACTGAATTTACAAATGCAATTATCGATCATCTTTAAATTTTGCTTTGGAGTCAGCAAGAAATTGTTGCTTATAATTTTGATTTTCTGTCAATTTCCGTTTATTTCCCCAATTTTATTCCGGAGGAGTGGGATTACCTCAGCTTAAAGGAAAACTCGTTCAAGTGTGTGTGACATTACAACCAAAGACAAGAAATGGGCAAGCATTCAAATATTCGCTGCCCACTGCAGTCTTGTTGCATTGCGAGGGTCCCCTCTGATTGATAACCCTCGGTAGTCTGTTTTAGTATTCTTTGTCAATAATATTTATAGCCCTAAATAAAAATACAAGAAATGATGTTTATTCGTTCATCTTTATCATCTTTCTGATATTGTGCAGCTATTGTTTGCTTTAATTTTTTGAATCGTATCCAAAGTTGCGACTTCTTGTGCTCCTTACTCCATAAAGATGGAATTCGGGGGAATTCCATTAATTCAATCATGGCACGGTTGGGTATTGTACTATACAAGTCTACAAATGTATTCGTGTTTGAAATGCTTTGGATCGTTAGTCATTGGCTTGATAAAATGTAGAAGCTAACAATATTTCTGGTGGAGCAATATAATAGTTCCGGACAGTAAAGGTGATTTTTAATTTTAAACCTTTGTTTGTTTTGCTTGAAAAAGAGTCCTCACATCAATTAGATTATTTTTGGTGGAACATATGATCAAGATTCAACAAACAAAATATGCCATTCAAGTTAATTACTGTCGTTTTTGCAAGTTACACTTTCGTTCATTACTTAGTGTGGGGTTGAGGCTCTTAGGCTGATGTTGAACCAGCGCCTGGGTATGTCTTAAGAGGGGTCAACTATCTTAACACGATATTTCATTACCTGTCTGCCAAGACTGGAATCATATTGCTTGATGGACATTTCAATTGTTAAATAATGATGTTAATTTTGTTAAAATTAAATAGGCCCTCCTTTCCACTTTGGTTTCTATTATATGAGTGAAGCAACTAGTAGAAATGCTTTCTACCTTTTTTCGCTTGCTCTAAATTATTGTGAAGATATAGGAGGTTTTATCCGGTCTGTCAGTTCTTCTGAGTATGGGGTAGATACTGGTACAGCAAGGCCTTACATGTCATCTTCGGCTGCCTTTTGTAAGGGTGTCAATACGGGTCACCCGTCTCATCTCGCCTAAAAATGGATTAGCTTATTCTGCCCCAGTTTAGAAAATGGGAATCTAGCCCAACCTATTTAAGGGTGAATTGACATGTTAATCAACTAGTTTATCCAAAAAAAAAACTTTAATAGATCGGTTCACTTAAAATTAATATAAAAAATATATAAAATTTAATTAAAAAAATTAAAATATTTTTATATTAATAAAAATTAATATTTAATGAATAAATTCATTATTGACCCACATTTTAAGTGGACTAGCGAGTGCAAGGTATTCAACTTAACCCGCTAATTTTTAGTAGGTTAAGAAGACAATTCATTAAATTCAAACAACTTTAACCTTTAAAAATATTAAAAATATAAATTAACTCTTTTAATATATTTTTTAATACACAATATTTAAATAGTTCTAACTTGAATAAAATTAAATATGAATAACTTGCTCAAGGTGTTAAGTTAGTTTTTATTTTAATTATTTTTAAACGAATTCTAAGTTTGCGGTAGGTGCCATTACTGCTATAGGTAAGCAATGCTCGTAGCTGAGGCTCGTGCCTGTGGTAGGTGCAGCGTTAAGTGCCAATTTTAAATTATTCTCACTTTGAATTTTCTTTCTGAAACAATAAATAAATGTAAAATTGTCCTTTGCTTATGTTGTTGGTGGGACTTTTAGTAATCAATTGATTGAAAACAGTGACAGAAAATGTGAAAACTGCGACCGAATATTTGAATGTGAGGATGTAGTGTGGTGCGCCATACATTTCCACTTTCCAGCTGAGGGCCCCAACTTGGTTGGTGGATGCTGACCGGTAATTGGTGAGGGTAGCATACACAAAATCAACAATAACAATAGAGCAAAGTGCCACTGTTATTTCAGAGAGATAAAATTATTAATTTAAAATTGTTGGACTCTGATTAATTTTATTGTAATTGTTTTATATTTTCCCTATATTATTATATTAATTATTGAGATATAAAATTTTAATTTATAGAGCTAAATGACCCTTTGAAGACTATTATCTTGTTTTCCTTTCTTCTTCACTCTTTCTTATTATTTAAAGTATAACAATTTAATGAAAGAAAACTTAAAAGTATTACTAATTAAAATAAAATTATCTTTTAAAAAATGTTTTTAATTAGAAAAACAAAAGAAAGAGAAAAAAATTGAATCTCTTTAAGATGAATTTATAGAAAAAACTAAAAACATTTTAATGCAACCTAAATTCATTTTTTAATTAAAAAATTATTTATAGATGTAATTTTTTAGACACTTAATAATTAAGATCCAAATTTTTTTTAATTTTATTAATGTGTACTAAAAGCTACATAATAAAAAATTATGTATAATGTTTTAAATACTATATAAAATTACAAGATTCCATATGTTAAAAAAATTATATTATATTTTTAATAAAAAATAATTATTTATTAATTTTTATCGTATGTCTTTGAATATATATTAACCGTTTTATTAAATGCTACTTTCATTTTTTTTATTTGTTCACTTTCAAGAGAAAAAAATGTTTTTTTTTATTTGTTAGTTAGAAATTTAAGACACTAACAATTACTGTTTTTAATTATACCATTATTTTTATCAAAATTTTAAATTTTTACGTCATTATTATAAATAAAACTAATAATCTTTAATATACATCTAAGGACACATAATAAAAAAAACTAATAAATAATAAAAATTTTATTAAAAATTATACTATTTAATGTTATTTAAACATTATATGTTACATCTTATAAATTGTAATAAAAATGCATTATTTATAATTTTTTATTATATATTTTTACATATATTAATAAATAAATAAATAAATAATAATGATTATGATATGAAAAAATGTCAATAAATATAAATAATAATATTAATTATATTTTTCATGCTTATATCAATTATATATTTATTTTTTAATTTATACATTACAATCTTTTTAAATGGACTGCTAGAAGCAACTAAAGAGGGTAACAAAATATTTTAATAAAGTTGACTCCTTAACCCTTTAATAAAATACTCATAAACATAATAATATTATGGTAATGATTCATATTATACAACTTAAATAAATTAGTAAGATAACTTATTATATCAAATTTTAAAAGTTATAATATTTATATTAATACTTAATAAATTTTGTAAGTTAAATATATTAAAATATTATATGTTTAAAATATATTTTAAAATTTTTTAATAGTAAATATCTTTTAAAAATATAATTATAATATTTTTTAATATTTTTTTATTTATATAAAACCAATCTTATTCTCTTATTTATTTTGTGTTTCTAACGATGAGTTTGATAAATTCAGTGATTGTGATTAAAATTTAATGTTAAAAGTTTAAAAATAATATCTAAAATAAGAGATCAAATAAAATTAAATAATCTTTATTTAGAATAATATCATAAAAATTTTATTTAATTTTTCATTATTTTATTTTAAATTTTTCTTTATTTTTCTCTTATTGCATGTATATCTAACAACCTAAATAACTATACTATATTTGCATTATCATACTTTAAATTGTGATTTTTATAAATAAAACCAATTAAATTTAAAAATATTATATACTCATTTCAATTCTTTTAACAACGAACAACGTAGCTAAATTAAAATAAAGATGATGACTAAAGATATGTAATTGAATGTTAAAAAATGCATAAAAATTATTCTTTGCAAATTTTGTTTAGGTCATGCAATATTTACTTAAATTAATTTTACTTGGAGATGACAATACAAAAAATCGTTATTTTTTGTTTTAGTTATTATTTTTTGTTTAAGTTAAAATTACAAAGTTTTTAAATTTTCCCAATTTATTTAAGCTAAATAAATTTTGCTAAAACTAACAAAATTTTCACTTGAGTAAATTCATTATTCATCTAATAAATATTTTTTTTATAACTTTTATTTAAACAAAATTAAAATGTCTTAAGCAAATTTTATAAATATTATACTAAGCAAATAAAACCATTATACAAGTAGGGTATAGAAAAGATCTAAAAGGATATTAAATAATTTATTAATATAAAAACTAATTTTTATAATAAATTAAGACGGTGAGAGTAAACTTAAAAATTTTAATTTTAAAAATCATGAATTACATACATAAGTATTTATAAAAAATTCTAAAGATCTAAAATAATATTTAATATTATATTAATTTTAAAATTATTTTTATTAGAAATTAAAAACACATTAATATATGTGAAAAATTTAATTTTTAAAATAATCACATAGACATAGGATACATATAAAAAATAAAAAAGACTATAATACAATTCTATAAAAATTTAAAATAACAAATTTTAAGAGTTTAAAAAATAATTTACAAATTTGTATGGAGAATTAAATTATAAATATATAAAAATTAGTAATATTGGGAAAAGATAAAACATTTGAACCATTAATTTTTAAAAAAATTCATCTAACCTTTTATACATACTGATTCAGTGGTAGACCACCTAATTGCTTAATAATCTTAGGTAGACCGAATATCGTAGTAATTCGTATCCACCAAAAAATAGACAGAAAACCAAAATATTAAAGCCCCTATAAAAGAAAACAATTGTCTAAAGGTTGGGTGGATCTTAACAAGACTGTTCTCCCATTCATTCATTCATTTCTCATTCTTCGTACTCTTAACAAACACTGTTCTCGCATCCATGGCTTTAGACGGCGTTCTCCTCGGAATGTGTAACCCTCTCCTGGATATCTCTGCCGTCGTCGATGAAAACTTCTTGAATAAGTATCTCACATTTCTCTCTATTTTCATTCGTTTTTGCTATTATGTAATGTATCGTTTCGGTACTATATCACTGTAACTAACTATATTTGGGAGCTTATAACGGAGAACAATGTTATGATATCTGTTGTGTGATTAATTCATAAATCTGAAAAATAAGATGGAACGGATCAGATCTCATGCTTCTGTTTCTGAATCTATGTGACAGATATGGTATCAAGTTGAACGATGCAATTCTCGCCGAGGATAAGCATAAGCCTATGTAAGATGTTTTCTTCTTTATCTACGCAACTTTACTTTACTTCTTTCTTCATGTTGCTGCTCAGCGTCGCTACATGGAATTGTCAAGTTACAACTTATGTCTCGTTTATTTTTCTTAAATGGAAAAAGAAAATTAAAGCGGATACAGTTACACGCGCGATTTTTAAATTAAGAACATGTTTAAAAGCTTTTATGTAATTAGACAAGTTTTTCGGGGAAAAAGGTGTTTGATTCCTTCGAAGTACGTAAATATGTAAAGGAAAGGAAGGAAGTTGCTATATATTCACCAGTAATTGGAAGTGGATTAAGTTTGAGAGATGCTTTAATTCATGGATCAATGAATTTTTCACCTTTTCAATTTACACACTTTCTCACTTTACTATGTGTCTGGTTTAACTTAATTGTAAAAAATAATTATATTATTTACTTTAAAAAATAAAAAGGCGATAATTGTTACGCGAATCCAGAAATAGGCAATCACTTTTCTTAAAACTAATAAAGTATAGGTTTAAAAAACAGTCATGTCCCCTTACAACTTAATAATGTTTTGACACTTGATAAATAAAGTATAATATGTAAAAGTAAATATATTAGAAACATAAAAGAACGTTGAATGCATTTTTTAATGTAATAATTATGAGCATGTTCTGAGAGGATTTAGTTCTTCGGAAAAGGGTCTATAAAAAATGATATCACGACAGCAAATTTTTTTAAGCTTAATTGAAACGCATCAGTCTAATATAGTTGGATTTAATTCATATAAACTATCAATGTTTATTGTCTCGAAACATGTGACAAAGGAAATTGTGTTGATTGTTGGACAATATTACTAACCCACTATTATTCTGGTGCCATGACATGTTCTTTGTCGATTAGCTTGAATATTAAAAGCATGCTAATATGATGTGCTTCTTGGCCCAGAGATGTATGAAACTGTCATACCCACTTCTAATTTGTTTTGCTCTCCGCCAGTGCTATGTGCTGGAAAGTTAAGGAAAATCTCAAGTTTTACTGTCTCCTTTTCTAAATAATGAATGTGTATACTTTTGGGAAACTTTTAAATTAAGAACTTGAACAATAATTGGTTTCTGGAAAGATTTTTAGGTTTCTCTCCTTGCTAATTTTTCGTCGAGCTAGTATTTTAATAGCGAGATGTTTTCTTTGAAGACAAGATATTTTGTGAGTTCATATGATCCTACAATCATCCAGGTACGAAGAAATGGCTGACAAATATAGTGTGGAGTACATTGCCGGAGGTAATACAGTCGATCCGAATTATTGAATTTCATGTCATGGATTATTGCTTTACTAGGTAATATCATGAACATGCTAACAACTAACAAAATAAGGGGAAAAAAAGATGTGAAATGCGCATTTCATGATGATGATATCTATAATTATCTTAATGGCAGGTGCTACTCAGAATTCAATCAGAGTTGCTCAGGTATGTACTTTCTTATCCAGATAGGTAGTAAGCTGAGGCTGGAGTTGTTGTGGGAAAGTAACTAATCATTTGCCTTTGCTTGTTAATAGTGGATGCTTCAAGTACCTGGTGCCACAAGTTACATAGGTTGCATAGGAAAGGACAAGTTTGGGGAGGAGATGAAGAAGAAATGTACACTTGATGGCGTAAATGTGAGTTTAATCTTGTGATTTGTCTTCACCTTCCTTTGTCATCAGCTACCCTGTACTTGGCACTAGAATCACGTTTCTTAAATTAACTTCTTCATTCGACAATCAGGTTCACTATTATGAAATCGATAATACACCTACGGGAACTTGTGCTGTTTGTGTGGTTGGTGGTGAAAGGTTAGACGATGAAGCTTTCTTGATTTTTTATTTTACTTATTATCAAATTTAAAATAGTTATATTTTTTTGCTGTTTTTAAGTAGTATATACATCTATTTGATTGCATCTGAATATAGGTCACTCGTTGCCAACTTATCAGCTGCAAATTGCTATAAGTCTGAGCATTTGACGAAACCGGAAAATTGGGCATTAGGTACCGTGTTGACTGTTGATAAATGCAGGCTCTCTTTCCATCTCATCTACCTGACTAATTCAGATGACTGACATTTGTTATTTTGCATTTGTTTTTAAAATAGTTGAAAAGGCCAAGTATTACTATATTTCTGGCTTTTTCCTCACTGTATCTCCAGATTCCATACAATTAGTTGCTGAACATGCAGCTGCAAATAACAAGGTCAGATAAGATGAGAATTTAGGATTCCCATTTAACTAGCAGTTTCTGATACTAAGTATTCTTTTCCTGTATGCAGTTCTTCATGATGAACCTTTCTGCCCCCTTTATCTGTGAGTTCTTCAAGGATGCTCAGGAGAAAGTTCTGCCGTAAGGATCCTTATCTGTTAAATTCTTCAAATAAATAAAATTTTACATATCGATCTCATGGATGTCCGTTCTGGGATTCAGGTATATGGACTTTGTTTTTGGAAATGAAACTGAAGCAAGAACATTTTCTAAAGTTCATGGCTGGGAGGTAGTACTAAGCAGATCTGTAGACTTGCAGTTTTGGTTTAAAATTTTAGTTTGTTATGAATTTTGACTCTTCTCCTAATGACTAGACTGATAACGTCGAAGAGATAGCTATAAAAATTTCAAAGTGGCCGAAAGCATCAGGAACACACAAAAGGATTACCATTATAACACAGGGTGCAGATCCTGTTTGTGTTGCTGAGGATGGGAAGGTGAAATTGTTCCCTGTGATACTATTACCCAAAGAGAAATTAGTTGACACAAATGGAGCAGGTACGCGGCCCTGCTGCTTTTAGTATTTAAACGGGGAACAAAATTGTATGCTGTTAACTGGTGTGCTAAAAAAATGCGTTGAAGTTATATATATTTGGTTGAGTTATAAAATTTCCATACATGGTCATCATTGATGTGTGCTCATAAAATGCGTGCAATTTATATATATATATATATATGTGTGTATGTACTTTTCATTTCGGCCCCTACTAAAATACATTGAATAGTAGATCATAGTCATGCAACCAACATGGAAAAGCAAATTTTGATGGTTTATCATTTGGTAGTGGCAAGTTAGATGCCAATTTTGTCTATCCAAAATGTTTGTGGCAACTTGATACAAAGTATACTTTTCTTACGTTTTTGTAGGAGATGCGTTTGTTGGAGGATTTCTTTCACAATTGGTTAAGGAGAAGCCCATTGAAGAATGCGTGAGAGCTGGGTGTTATGCCGCAAATGTTATTATTCAAAGGTCTGGCTGCACGTACCCAGAGAAGCCTGGTTTTCATTAAGTGATTCTCCCGATTCTGTTATTTTTATGAAGTTTTGATCATTTAGTCACACTCTAACTGGTGTGGGATTTTTGTAAGTCCCCCGGCTAGGGAAAACAGGATGAAAAAGTTGCAAGGGGAGAGACAATTGAAATAAGTGTGCGTATTTGAAGTCCTAATTGGACATCATTTCTCATTTTTCTGTTTGTTATCACTTCTCTTTTCTTTTTCCTTTTTGGTTAAACTTTTATGATGTATTTGTATCCCTCTAAGGGCATAATATTTTATTTCTTATCTCGTTTTCTTTTTTTTCATATTTTTGTCGGCTACAAGTTATTGCAATTTGAGTGAATTCTATATAAGAACTGCAAGAACAATTTTTTTTTATTTTTTTTACTTATTATAAGCTTTCAAGAACTGCAACTTTCTAAGAACAAAATTTTTTACAACAACCAAATGAGAAATTGAGGAGAGAAGCATGCACAGTCCAAGTGACAATGAGAGATTGATTTTAAGCCTATATTGTGATTGATAAATTTGTAACCAATGATAATCAGAGTCATAGTTCAAAGGTTGTTACCATTGTTATTGCGACCATTGAGCTTGGAGTTTTGACAATTGTAGAGGTAAGAAGAGGGACACGAAGTAACTAATTTCTTTCTTTCATGGATGCACTTCTAGCAGTACTAAAATCCAAGCCTATGAGATCTATATAAAAGGAGAGGAAAGAGTTTCAAAAGGGTATTTTTGGTAATATTAAATTGTTGGAAGGATCCTTCATAATTAGTGTTTGGTGAAGAGGAAAAGTATCAAATTAATTAATAAAAAGTAGAAAAGAGATGAGAAACAAAACCTAAATTTGACGTATATTAGGTCTAAAAGTAACTTTTGTTGCGTCGATTTAAATTCGTATTTATGAAAGGTGATGAACATTTTAAACAAATTTAAATATGAGCTTATTTATTTTTCTAATGTTTTTTAAGAAACAAAATCTTAAAATAATGTTTTTTGAAAACAAATATCCTGAATCTTTTTTGTCACGTCAAGACCTGTTTCGCATACTGTCTCGACGAAATATATATTTTTTATTTTTTAAATGTTATTTCGTCTTTATTAGAGACGAAACTATCAGGCTGCACCATGTGTCATCATCTGGTGAGTTTCGCCTACTACAGAAGAATGGTGCCATGTGTCATGATCTGAATCAATTTACGAAAGTGGTTAAAAAATAAATAAATTATATTTTAATATTTAATTAAAATTTATTAAAATAGAAAATTATAAAATTTAAGAATAAAAAAATTATATAATTTTTAATTAACTTAATTAACAACTACAAATATATTAAAAATGCATATTAAAATTACACCATGTATATTGTATGACGCAAAAAACAATACCTACTAATAAAATTATAAATTTAAAAGAAATTATTTTAAAGTGTGAGTTACATTTTTTTTTATTCAAACTAGTTTGTAAGTTAGGTGTAATATTTAAAAATCTTAATAATTTATATAATAAATGTGTATTTTTTATAATTTTTTATAGATATTTAAACTAAGATTAACAAATTCTTAACACTATATTTTTTAATATATTTATAATTATTAATTAATTTAATTAAAAAGTATCTAAATTTTAATAATTTATTCTTAAATTAAATATTATGATTTTTTATTTTTAATATATTTTAATTAAATATTCATTTTTTTTAATTAAATATGTTTCGTTAATACAATAGATGAATAACGTGGCAAAAAAGACTCCAGATAAAAAAAATATTTTTAAAATTACTATTTTAAGAATTTATTTTTTAAAAAATATTAAAATAATAAATCAGCCCTATTGATATAATTATAAACATATTTAATTTAAGAAAAAATAACTATAAAAACATTTATTTATTATATAAATTATTAAGATTTTTAAATATCACACCTAACTTACAAAATTAGTTTGAAAAAAGAAAAAAAAATATGGTCCACACTTTAAAATAATTACTTTTAAATTTATAATTTTATTAGCAGATATTCTTTTTAGTGTCACACAGTATACATAGTATAATTTTAATATACATTTTTAATATATTTATATTTGTTAATTAAGTTAATTAAAAATTATATAATTTTTTTATTCTTAAATTTTATAATTTTCTATTTTTAATAAACTTTAATATAATATTAGAATATAAATTTTTACTTTTTTTTAACCAATTTTGTAAATTGATCCAGATCATGACACAATTCTTTGAGTTTCATCTCTGCAGTAGGCGAAACTCACTAGATGATGACACATGGCGCAATCTGATAGTTTCGTTTTTACTAAAGACGAAATAACATTTAAAAAAAATATTTCATTTAAACAGTATACGAAACAGGTCTTGACGTGGCAAAAATGACTTCAGACAGAAAATATGTTTTTAAAAAACATTATTTTAAGAATTTTTTTAAAAAATATTAAAAAAATAAATAAGCCTCAAATATGTCATGTTAAGAATGACACACACATTTGACCAAACTTAAAGCGTGTTTGAGAGCTTTTAATTTTAACAAAAGATGTTTTCAACGAAACTATCATCTTATTAATAATAAAATAAATTATAAAAATACTTTTTAATTTAATTTTTTTAACATGCTTTATATTTTTTGTTAAAATTTATAAAAAAAAAATTATTTGAGTTGCATTCCTAATTTAATAAACTTTATTTATAATTTTTTAATGTTTAATAAATTTCAATAAACAATAAAGAGTGTATTAATAAGAATGCATTGAATAATATATTACTGACATTCCTCTTATAATAATCAAATTTGTTGTGAAAGAAATAATCTATTTAAACAAAAGCATCTAAAATAAAGATAAACAAACATAAAATAAAATGATATTAGAAAAAATGTTTAATAAAACGAATTACTTAAAATTGATTTAATATATAAAATTATATAACATATATATTACAATTTTATTTTTAATACTTTAAAGTATGTTTGAGAGAGAAATTTTAGACAAAAAAGAATACATTTTTAAATTTTAAATTAAAATAATTATATATTATTTATGATAATAAATATATAATTAATATATTAAATTTATGTTAATGTAAATTTATATATTTTATTTTTTTAAATATTAATTTTAAATATAAAATTTCTCTTCTCTTTCTCTCCCTTCCAAAATTTCCTTTCTCAAATAAGCCATTATAAAATCCGTTAGTCGAAAAAAGAATTCAGCATTTTTGTCTGACAAAAGGTCCAGAAAGAATTAAACTATTTGTTTGGCAAATTGATAATAATAGGGTGCTGACTAATCAATGTAATTGGTCATAATATCCTTTTTGTCATCACAGTAGTCACATTGAAGAAAGCATCGTTTCATTTCTTGAGTGATTGCACCTTCACTATTCCAATTTGAAACCATCATTTTGAAGATCAACCAAAATAATAACATTGGAATAAAAACTGATTGGAAATGGATTGAAACGTGGGCTAATACTATTTATCTTTTATGGGTGGAGGAATCAGCATATTCATGAAGAAAATTTTAAAAGACCTATACAAGTCCTTGACTTGTAGTGACTAATTGTATGAAATACCTGAATTTGATAAATAAATAAAAATGCATGATCAAGACCATGTAATCCCAACAGTACAAATTAAAAATATTATAGATGGCAAGATATGAATTAATGGTCGAAATTACATCGTCTCATACCACTTAATAATCTCTCATAAATTTAATAAGTCATGCAAAATATACCACGTATAGCTAAGGTATTATTGCTTTCATGGTGCCAAGTGTTTGCTTGAAATATATTTATAAATTTATTTTTAAATGAAATTGACTCTACAAAATTAATTTCATTCGTCTCTTTTGTTAGAAAGAATTAACAAAAAGAAGAGTTGGGTATCTATTTTTGTATAAGTTTCACAAATCACATCACCCTTTTATCATTAAAAAAAAAAAAAAAAAAGAGGGGATAAAAATCAAACTTTTGCAATGTAGTCTCGGAGATTCAATTTTTTTAACATTCGATATAGAAGCACATTTTGTTCGCAGTATTAAAAGATAATATATATATATATATATATATATATATATATATATATATATTTTTTTTTTTTTTTTATTTTGCTGCTTCAACTCTAACTTGGAGAGGTTAAAAGTTAATATCAACTTTGATATAAAACAAGCAAACAAGTTTTTATCCCCAAAATTTCGTTTGCAAGGAACAAAATTAGATTTTATATAATATGGCAATTTGACAAGCACTAAAATATTGATAAAGAAGAAGAAGACAATGGCACTAAAATATTAAACATATTTTGACCAATACTAGCTTAAACTCCAATGGAGTGAACTGTTCAAAGGTATAATGTATCGGTTGCCGATAATTCTAATCGATATATAAATTGGGTTACTTTGATTGGCGCACATATGTCACATGACTAATGGGTGATGCACTTGCTTCAAGGAAAAAAAATAGGGTTGAAGATCCAATCATTAGTGAATTCAGCTTTAATTTTGATTTGGTTGTTGATTGAATTATTCTATAACCTTGTAGCTGGTCACAAATATTTAGCAACAACCAGGAAAATGATGTTCTCCAACATTGTAGTTTACGTCTGACACTTTTAAGGGATCAATGATTGTCCGGCAACATTTTTTGGTTCAATAAAGAAATAATTTTGGGAGAAGAAGGTATTATTTCGTTTGATGATTTTATTATTTATACAATTTTGTCGATTTTATTTTTTCAAATTTATTTTAAACATTTAAAAGTTTTTTATAAAATATTTGTTATTTTAAAATTATAAAAAATAATTTTTAATAAAATTTTATTATTACTATTTGCTTAAATTTAATATTAAATTCATATTAACATTTTACTTATTATTTTTTTATTCAATTTAATCTAAATTTGACTCGAATTATGCACTTAAATATAATATATGAATTTATTATTAATTTTTTTTTATATATTCATAAACTCAAATCTAAAATCTTACTTAAGCAATACTAAACTACTTACTACTTGAACTAACTTTCATTAATTTCATTTTACTTATTAATATTTAGCTTTCATGCTATCATCGTTATTAAATTCGATTTACTTGGGTATTCTAGAGATTTACCACTATTTCACTTGCTCGATTATAAATATGTATGTACAAAATACAATACGCGTTGAATGACCATAATTTGTTTTCACTTTTGCTAAAATTGTTTCCTTATAAATAGGCTTTTTGTCAATCATTTACATTAAGGTTATCAAATATATTCTCTTATTAAAAATATATTCTATTTGAGAGCCTGTATTATTCTTTAACTCTCATAGTTTAAAGATTTCTTTTATAAAATTAGATATATTGATATTAGGTGTTAAACTTAAATATATGATTTTTTTTTTTATTAAATTGAGATTCGTGAGTCTAATCAATAATATATATACTTTGTCATATTTATTTATTTTAACATATAATACATTAATTATAAATAATATATTTATAAATATTCAAATTATGTGAACTTTAATATATATAATTTAATAATAAAATTAATAAATTTTACATTTTATAAAAAATATTAAATAATATAAATATTCAAATTTAACACACGAATCCTAACTTTTTTTTTTTTCAAATGTATCTATTATTTCTAATGTTAGTGTTAAGATTTAAGGTTTAAAATATAGAAATAGAAAAGTACATATGAACCTCAATTTCAAACATCTTGTCTTGATTCTGGATTCAAAGTGCATGAGTCAATAGGATTTGAGCTTCGGCAGGTATTATATAGACGAAAGAAACAGCAATAAAATAGGAATATAATAAGACAAATGCAACGATTGTCATTAGAGTAGTTGTTCAGAATTTAAAACTAGAAAGTGCTGAATGAAAAAGTATACATCTCTTCAAGTTTTCAACTTATTAAATATAGTTCTTTTTTTATTAAATACTTATTATTTTTTAATATTTTAACAAGTAATAACATTAAATATTAGATTATATATTATTAATATGTGTTCAGTCAATGGTCTTTTATGTCATTCCTCTTTCATTATTAAGGTCTCAATGAAATTGCTCTTTTTATGCTTCTTGTCTGTTTCCCATTTGATTAATAAAAAAGTTTTGTTAACTTCAAATCTTTGTTATTAATAAATGTTTTTAAATAAAATTATTATTTTATATTTTAAGGTAATATGTTTCTTAAAAATAAGGCATATCTTCAAACATGTCTTTTAAATATCAAGACTACACCAAATAGTTATTAGCATTTTTTACGCTACTTATTTTTTAATTAAGCAGAGAAAAAAAAAAGAGATATATGAAAGGGACCAAGTGATCCGGTCAGTGTTTATATTACATGGCTTCTCCAGTCTCAAATGTGACATGTCAAGTGTTTAGTTATTAATGCAATAATTTGATGGATCTTTATCGCTAGCTTAATAATGTGTAGGAAAACTGGCTTTACTTTGCTCAATTTACGAATTCCAAATGATCTTGTGCTGATAAAATAAGCAAAACAAAGTAGAATCTCTCCTTGAATTGATGAATTACATCAGTGAGCTAAATGACACTTGCACCTCAAAACCTACTTACAGCATATTAAATATTATATGTGGCTACATATCAGCTTAGTTAGAACTTAAGAATTTCAAGTTCATGAAAACTACTTAATGTTTCAAAAGTGACATATCAAAGACACAAACACACTCGTGGGTTCTGTGGGGAGCTTGCACATCGAAGGACACTTAGGAAAATATGTTCATCACAAGGAATACAGAGTTTTGAATCAGCAATGAAATCATACTCTTCCCGAGCTTGATCCAACAAGGCCTTAAAGAGTGGATGATGGAGCAATGCAACCTTGATCACATATCTCTTGTGATTCTCTCCTACGTACACAACCAAATGACCCTTTGGAACATCACTTGGAATGGAGCAACTTTCATGCAAAGAAGACCATAAAGCCCTTTCACAACAATACTCACAAGCAGCACAAGCCATGACTCGATCCCCCATTTTCTTGCACTTGTTTAGGCACCCTCTTAGAAATCTTGACTTCATAATTTCTCGAATGTATGCAAATAGAGAGAGAAAGAGAGAAAAGGACTAAAAGTGCAGTGATGAGTACTTGGAAAGTGATAAGGTATATATAATTGTGGCATGGGAAGAAGCAATGCTGTGGAGCATTAAATGGTTGACATGATTGGTAGCCTATGCTACTTTGCTAATATATAATTATTGGGATCAACATATATATTATTTCAAGTGTGCCAGTTATTGATAGTTGCTGACTTTGTTGGTTAGCAATGTATCTCTGATACGAAACTGTACGAACATGCATGGCAATGATATAAGAGATATATGAAATATAATATATAACTGATTAATTAACAACAATCCTAGGAAGTAAAGGCTCTGTCCTTCTCTGCAATTCTCCAAGGGTGGTGCTTAATCACTGTTTCTTTCCAAGTTCTCAGTGTTATATAAGACCCCACAACTTGGGGGAGGAAAAGATAAGATATGAAAGAGGCATGGGATAAGTTTCTTGGGCAAAGTGCGAACCCACTTATTTCTAATACATAGGCATGGATAAAAGATATAGGCACTATATTTTTTAGATTCAGAAAGAGGCTTCTTCAACTTTTTTGAGTCATGATCGTTGAAAAAATTTGTACTGTCAGGTGTTAAAAGTCGGCAAGTTTAGTGCTAGAAAGTGGATCGATATGATGATAATGTGTTTTGAGTGCAATCCAGATAGTGTATGGACACTGGTGTTAATGGATTTGAGGCCTATCCAGGAAGTGGAGCAACATGGTTATTAGTAATTTAATATTAATTTTTTTAACTGTGGGGGATGAACTAATTAGTATTAATCAGCGACTTTATAATGGATTAATGCTGGTGTCCCTGTCAATCCTTTTCCTTGTTAGGATATCGTGATTTTTAATTCCCATTTGGATTGGTCTTAGCTCGCTACTTTATAAACGTTGAATTATCTTAAATTAGAGCATGTTGGCTAAACTATTGTTTTTATGAGGACTAAGGAGGGTACTATCCGTACAAAATAATATAAATTTTCTGCAAATGGATTTGGGGGATAAGTTTACTGTTCCCTCCATTGCTCGCAGTAGTACAGGAAATGGGCTACATATAGCAAAAGGGATGGAAGGAAATATCTTTGGTACCAGTGAGGAGAATGGAAGTCACATTTCTTCACCCTGAAAACTTTGACCATCCTGTAGATGTGACATCTTTGATTTGATTCCTTTCCTATGTTTTCTCATAAAGGGTCTTTAGAAATCTTAGCCATGATATCAAAAAATAATTGGTCTCATTTCATTGATCTTATCAATGTAACATAGTGAATATTGCTTGAAATGTACTTCTTACACAATGGTCTAGAAAAGGAAAACAAAAAGGACACACATGCAAACAACTTGTACCAAAACTTGACTGATTGGGCTAGATAGAAACTCTTTGTTGTGTAATTGGGAAATTTAAAGAGAGAAATTTAATTCAGTTTGAAGAATTCAACAATTTTAGATAAATAGGTGTACAAGTATAAGACAGTGTTTGAGGTTGCCCTTTTTTCCTTGGCATGCACATCTTACACATATGTTCAGAGAGATGACTGAGAGCCAGCACATTGATTCATCCCCTTTGAGACAAATGTCGGTTATGCTTGGTTGGTTGAAAAGAATAGACGTTCAGTTTCACACATGATCATTTGCAGTGAAATGCCAACAGTTTTTCAGATGAGACAAAGATGAGATAGTTAAACGATTTTAAAAAGGCCCCTTAAGGATCTTATGAAATTACTCAGCATGTACTGGAAATTCGATTCCTTTCATTTCATATTATATATAAAATGCAATCCAATTTCTTCTGCATCCTTCTGCATCATCTCATATCATATACACACTTCTAATCATGTCCAAGTCAAAATAGACAGAGATTAATTGAACAATGAACATAAACCCAGTTCTTCTTTCATAAAAATGTCCAAATTCAGAAAATTATATTTAACAAATTAAATGATTTAATTATTTTGTCAAAATGAAGCTCCAATTTTCGGGAAACGTTATCACATTGTAGGTAATGCAACGGGACCCATATTTTTTTTTAATGATATTGTACATAAATTTTATCCTTTTATTAAAGTAACTAACAATTTTAACTTATTAAAAATACCTCAATAGTATAATTAAAAATAATTAAATTTGGTAAAATTACTTAAATACTTGTAATTCGTAGCTTATGACTGATAAGCTAGTTTATAACTAACTAAGTTGATTGCATTACAACTATTTAATCAAATTAGAAGAAATGTGTTAAATGACTAAAAAAAAGTGTTAAAATTATTTCATGTGATATAAATGATAAAAAAAAGTTAAAAAATAGTTTTCAATAAGTTGAATATTACTAAAAATATTATTTTAAAAGTTAGCATTCAAAAATATAACTTCAAAACAAAGGAATTCAGCTGTTTTAAATACCCAAATAAATGTCGTGATTCTACCACAACTCAAACAAACTGTGTAATATAAAGGATACATGTAGTCTAGATTAAAAAAAGTTACACTCTTTTACACTTTTTTCCCCTGTTTATTATATGGAATTGTCTATCATATTTATTATTGTTTTTGTTTGGTTCCTGTTATTCTGAACGTGTAGACAGAGAGCCAACTAGACATTTTCCATCCAAGGGAGGGTGATGGAAGATGAGGAGCGTGGCGAGTGAGGGAGCAAAGAAAGGACGTGGGTGCACATGAGGTTTGGGCCACGGGGCTCACGGGTGGGGGATGGATATTATGTGCCATTACTCTTCAAAGAGTAATGCTTTGGTTGGTGTTTGTGACACCTCAAAGCCATTCTTAATCTATGGTTCGCAGCCATTTTGTGTATCTAAATTATTTGATTAGACAGACACGCTTTGCTCCCATTTCACGTGCATTCACCTCTTCACTTTAGCTGTCACATTATCATTTTCTTCCCACTTTCTCCCCAACTGCCCCATTTCCTCTATCCCTTAATTTAACACCTCTCCATGCTTCCTTCACGAAGCAAATTCCTCTTCTTTTCCAAACCCTTTTTGTATTGAACCCCAATTCCGTCGGTAGAGTTCTGTATACAGATTTTAGATCATTTTACGCCTCAACCCAAATTTTCTTCTTTACTATATGTTACAAAATTCAAATGTGTTATGTGTAGACTCGAAAATTCTATATTTGATTTTCACCCTTTGGGTCTCTCTCAAATGCATGATCCTCTCGTGTTCAAAATGGTTTCTATCCCTCCTCATAGCATTAAATAGATTTAGGTGATCAAATATCTAACTATTAATGAAGTTTGGTCTTTGCACGTCACGCCACGTATGAGTTTGAAAGGGAATGATTCACTTAAAAAAATTAGTCTTATTAACCATTGCTATAAAAACATTAAGAAATCATCAATTAAAAAAACGTTAACAGGACATTAAAAATTTGGATGATAATACATTAATAATATATTTTAATAATATTTATATTCTTTAATTATAACCAGTACTTTTAAGATACTTGTTATCATTTGACAGAATTATATTATTGCTCTTTAAAAAAAAAAAAGCATGACTTAGTGAGATTAGCAAATCTCTGGATGAATAATACTTACTCGGTTCTTGCAAACAAAACTACAAGATTATACATCTCTTGTAATGTTTGAAAATTGAAAAACATTTCCTCATCTGAGCATACCCTAAATTCGATTCTTAGTTGGATTCCTGTTGAAATATTGAAATTGTTTGCAAACGCAGATTCATTTGCCGCTTGATGTGCCTCCCAAAAAAATATCATTTAACAGTTGTCACTCGCAAGTACTTTTATTTGCATTTGTTGAGAGCAAAATGCTTCAGGCTCCGCTTCCCCCCAACAATAAAGAAAATTTTTTTCAAAATATGTAATCTAAGAATCTTAAAAAATTTAGAGTCCAGTACATAACCAGTTCCTTTAGCCATTCATTTGCAACAGCGAGTCATAAGCGGCTTCAAAAACATTAGTCGGTCATCAATCCTAGGTTTTAATACACTAAGAAAAACAAAATATTGAAGAGGCTAGGCATTAAGCATCGCAAGCTAATGTAGACAACTAATGATTCCTCATGTTTACAATTCAAAATTTCTATGCCTTTGTAGATACACAAGCAGTAATTACTTGACGGTATAAAATTTTGCAAATGTTATACCTAAATTTCAACAAGATTCTTTTGATTATGGATTTACCTGGACTGTTTTACACATGGACATTTACTTCTAGGTACACTTTTTCCTACTTACATTTCTTTTGCTAAGACTAACTGGAGGAGAATCTTTAGCAATGGCAGAAGAACCTATTGGGCTAACACGTGATTTCTTTGAGCCACGTTGCCTTGGGTATGGATGAATTTTAGCCAATTCGCGCACTCGGCGTACCACGATAAATGGCAAGGGACGGAGGGCATGCTCATCATTTTGCTCGGCCTGTAATCAACACATGATCATTTACATTGTTAACTTTCCCATTCCCCAAACCAAATTTTACCAGAGAGCATATTTAACAAAATCAACTTCATGTACGTCACATCAAGTAAAGTTGCAAATATCATTATATACTGTTGCCCCATCTTAAGTTTCTGAGATATGCATGAAAAATTAATTAAAAGAAAGTTTCTGAAAAGAAAGAAAGAAAGCTAACCTCTTTCTTGTTGAATTTCTGCACAGTACTGGCTCGTAAAAGGTTTCGCCACTTGTCCTGCAGAAATCACATTTAGAAAACGGGTTTGGAAGAAAGGTGACAACTGAATGAGTAAAGTGTTGTGATGTACCCTGAGATCTATAGGAGTTCGGTAGCTTGAAGAAGAAAACAAAAACCTCTTTATATCAGTCCATCGACCAACTCCATATTCAGATACGCCTTCAACCAACTTCATGACTTCAGAGAGAGTCCACATCCTCTGATGCTTTCTTCGATCTTTCCTTCTAGCTTTTTTGGACGTCAAACTTCCATCCTCAGATTCTGAGGGAGATGGCTCATCGTCATACTCAAGTTTCTAGAAAAGAAATATGTCTTGTTAAATGAGGGAGAATAATATAGATCTGCAAACCATTGGCCATTGAATATTAGGCTAATAATCAAAATTGGAGTATCATTTCTAAATTTCACGATTTTTCCACTAACAGAAAGGCACCTTTATCTCGTGCAAAACATTAAAACTAGATCTCAACCATAGGAACCATTCTGTGCAGTCACAGAAACAGCCATGGACCTTAAGAACTGCATAAATGAACTAAAAATGAAAATCATGCTATAGTAATAAAAAAATATAAATTTACTGCATAAATGAACTGCTCAGACAAGACACGAGGGAAGCAGGATAAAGCAAATTCATACCAATTAACACCCAAGTTAAAACATACTTCAATTCATTAAGAGCCAGTAGACTAAATTTTAACAAATAAATTTGTAAGTGTCACAGAATCATCAAATTTTGATATTAAAGCTCATTCAGAGGTATCCAAAACCAGAAGATAGAGAATAAACATAAAAACAGATCCTAAAAGTTATACATACACTATGACACAATTATAACTAAAGAATCTCTCTCTCTCTCTCTCTCTCATGCCAAAGGGTAGGTTGGGCAGAAAGAATCCAGATCTACTCAAGAAAAAAATATACAGAAAGGGATAAAACGCTCCCTAATGAAACAGTACCTCTATCTTTGGACGTCCTTTGCGAACTTGCAACTCAGGAAACATCACGTCATTATTTTCATTGCTAGACTTCTCGCCTGGAATCTTTTTCAATGCTTTAATTCTTATACGAAGTTCATTACATGATGGGTCACTTAAATGTTTAGTTTTTGTACCAGTAGCTGGTCCCTTTTCCTTTGACCTCAAATTTGAGAACTCTTCAATATACCTCTGAGTAGGCTTTCGGGATCTCTTCTCTCTATGTGCAGCAGGTTGGCTTTTTACAACAGGACCCTTTTCCTTCTCACAAGACAATATACCACCGACAAAATGATGATTGTTATCCAACTCATGCAGATGCTGTAAATCGAGTGAAATGTTGTACATGCAATTTACATTTGATGGTTGACTTAGATTGTTCCTGAATGCACCATGTGATTCATTGGTTGCTGCCTCATCTAAAGAATCAATTTTGCATTCAGATTGTGCATTGGGTACTTTTGTTGATTGTAATACCCCACCAATAATGCTACTTCCACTTAATCCAGAAGAATGGCTTTCCGAACTTGAGTTTTGCAAAAGTGAAACTTCAGATGGACCAGAGCCTAGAACCTCAGCTTTGTTAGCAAAATCAAAATCTGCAGATTCAAAAAATAAATTGCAATATGTAAAATAGAAAGGTGTAATAAAAAAGGCCAAGCAGAAACTAAACACTTTCTTCCTTTCTATCAATACATGAATAGTGTTAACTGTCATCTCTAACGGGTCCTTTCAAGGGTGCTGTGGGGTTGGAGTGTGCACAATATACAGGCCTAGCCTCCTAGGTAACTTTGTATTAAAACTTTTTTTTTTTTTTTGTTTTACGGTAAGCATAGTAGAAGAAAGAATTAAAGTAGAACTCTAGATTACTTGGTCATGGAGGGTTTGATATCATGTGATGAACTAATTATCCCAAAAGCATAAGTTGTAAGGGGAAGGCATATGAATAGTTTTATAATACATTTATAACAGTAGTTAATAATTTACCCAAAAAATACTCTTCACATGCACCAGAGAAACCATCGGTCCCTTCAAGATCATCAATTTCAACATCATCTAGCAATCCATCAAGGACCTAACAAAATTAAAGATAGTTCTCATACCAGCAAAATAAGGACATAAACAATTTAGCAGTAACAGGGAAATATTATTATTATTATTATGCAATTGACATTAGATAAGGTGATATTAAATCAAGCACCGATTAATCAATAACAAGCAGTTTAAATATAAAAATCTGTGAATTACTAGCTTCAATATCATCCCAATGACAACTGATTGTAGACAGATACCTCCAGTTCCAAATCATCTTTGCTATTCAAAGTTGTGTGTGAATCCAAACTACCTGATGAATGTCAACACACTAGTATGAGATATAAAACCACAATAATCACCAAGGATTGAAAGCAAATATTATCATTGTGCTCTTAATATAAGATAATGTCAATACAGCTTTATCAACCATTAAAATTTATCCAGTCCAAGATGACATCTCAAATATAGAATGTTTGATTTCATATCTTTGAAGATGCAACATGAGTTCTAAGCTTCTAAGCAATCTCTGTCAGCAGTACACTGTCAAAGTTTCATACAGTTTGCTTCTTTTACTCTTCATTCTTTCACCTTATCATTTTACTTCATTGTTTATTCAAGTTTTTCAGAAACAAAATGCAGGCCCCAAATAATAGCTTCTTGCCAATGTTCAAAGTAAATCTCCATTTCCTGATATACAGACTTCAAGCAATAGAATCAAAAAGAACAGCTTTAGGTCATTTGAGAATTACCACTACTTGATTTTAAACCAAATTCAAATCCACAGGAAAGATTTTCAGCATCATAACATTTCCCATTATTCTCCTCATTAAATTGCAATATACTATCCACTGAAACATGATCATTTCTAGGTTCTGCAAGCAAACGCTCAACCTCCATTACTTCATCTTGCAGAGAAGGTACGGATGATTCATCCATCTGAACCTAGGGAAATTTAAAATAAAGATATTATAAATCACACATTTTAAGCAAAACCATGTTGCTTCTTCCAATTTATTTAAATAGTAAAGCAAGAGCATTGCATAACAATGATGTAAATCCACACAAGTGTTCACACATAAACAGTGTCTTAAAATGTTTTGTCAAAATATTAAGCTTGTAAGGACTAAGTATACTGCAGATCAAGAAAAACCTTCCAATCACATGTAAATTTGACTTACACATTGTTAAAAAGAACAAACGCAATGTACTTCTCAAAGAAAACAAAACAACGTTAAAAGGATTTGGAGTCCAAAATCAATTGCCTGACCAATCCACTAGTGGTCCAAGAATATGGAGAGTTTATACTAGAAGGAGAGGAACACATATTAGCAATGAAGAAGAGTATTCTGTTATGCAAGGAAGGGTTGTTACTGGGGAAAACAATCATTATAGGAAACAGCAAGGAAAGGAAAGGGGCAGTGTGGAAGTTAATAGTGGAACACAGCCATTAGGCTTGAGACCTCATAGCTCTGGGTCTCTGAGGTATTGTTCTCTTTTTTTTTATCCTTTCTACCCTTAATATCCAGTACTGCTAATATAATTGCTGGGTGGAGTTGTAGAGGTGAGTGTAGTGCCTTGTTCTGTAAGTGGGCATTTCTGTCTAGAGTGTAGTGTTGCGTTCAGAACTTCAGACTGCATCAGTATTTCAGCAAGTGAACACCAAACAATAACCACAAGTTTAATTTTAACATTGCCTCATATCTATAGAGATGTAAAAGATGAAGTATATTGGGCTTGACTTATTAACATTAAATAATAAAATACTAAATGGACTAGTCTTCTATAATTTATTTACTATAACAAGACAAGTAGAGTATGCTTGTACAAACACCCTCAATATACTAGCAGAATTTTTTTTATAAAGATGATGATTTAGTTTCAAATTCCTGATCTATTTTCTCAAACAACACTTGTAGCATTTTAAAAATCAGATTCTAGAATAATGTTGAATAAAATCCAATGATTGCAATCCTAATTCCACATAAATCCCAAAGAGCTAATATCTACCATAATTAGGTGCAACTAATATGAGATAATCACCACATTCACAAAAAATATTAAAAAGATACTTTCTTTGATGTTGCACAATGCAGGAGAATGTGACCAACAATGACCAAAATCCTTACTCTTTGGCATTTCATATTGGAACACTTCCGTAAATATTCCTCCCGATCCATCTCATGTTTCCTTGAATATCATCCTACAGTTTCAATATGCATCAGTTTACTCTCTTTTTTTTCTCATTCTATACATATACAGATACATTTTTATGAATAAAAGAATAGAAATATGCATATAGCATTCATATATATGTGCCCATTGCTACAATTCACTTGTAAAATAAATACACAAATATTGAAACTGTAAGGCTTCAACAAAGAAAGAACAAGAAGCATGACAACAGAACAGTACAACTGTCTATGTAAACTGATGAAATGCAAAAATGAAAAACTATGTTCAGCAATCCAATAAGAGTGTTAGGAAACATATGTAGGCATAAACTCATTACTCTGTAATATCTCTTAGACACAATAATTTGTTTATACTAATTTCGTATCTATGTATGCATGCAGAAGATCTAGTCCAGGTGTGATATTGTAAACTCATTTCTTCAAATCAAATGCCAAAAGGCCATATATTAGAGCCAAACAAAAATACCATCTATTTTCCATTTTCAATACTTCCCAAAATGCCCTCTGACTTGATTGCCAGTTTACAATTTCCATTTCTCAGATTATAAAAACTTCTAATCATTGTTTTTCTGTCTGAACATAACAAATAAAAACCAATGGATTCCAAACACATTATTTTTTTTCTCAACTTTCTCAAAATTCGGAATAAATGCTATTAACAGCGTATATAAGTGGGATACAAATGTCCTCTAAGAGAGAAACAAAAACGGAGTGAAAAATAAAACTGATAAAACACTACAAAGTCCTCCCTTCCATACATTCTTAACCGAAACCAAAGACCAAACACCATACAGAAGCCAAAAAAACACTCCCAATGACACAAAGCTCATTGAAAATCCATACATTGCTGAATTCACAGACACCAAACTACTGCCAGAACCACAGGTCGCCACAAAATATGCCCTCCCTTATTCCACTCTACATTTTCTATCTTCAAACCGCACACTCAATCACAGTGACCAAATTAACCACAAATGTTTCTGTCTCAACATAAATTACATCAATACTACTGAACAATTTGAAAAATCTTGACACATTCAGTTAATAATTACAAAGATAATTCATATTAAAACTAAAACACGACAGAAAAACCATATTTATTTATTATATATTTAAAAAGAAAACTACAGAGAGCTTTCAATTATCAGCCTTATGTGAAGCACATATTAACACACCCAAGTTAATTAAATCATCGCTCACATAACAGTTAAAACCATACAGTACGCTACGAAAACAACGCAATCAAATAATTTTCTCCATTTTATAGCGAGTAAAATTGAACTAATTAAAGAACAGCGAGCAAAGTCATCGTAAGAATAGAAATGAAGAAATGAACTATGAAAACCCCCAACCTCATTCATTCATCGAACAAAGCAATCCGAACTAACCGATCCCTAAACTCAAATAAAAATAACAAACAAAGGAACACACAAAAGAGTAAGATCTAATCTATAGCAGAAACGAGAGAGGAAAAACAAATATGCCGAAGATCGAACCTCGAAGTGATGAATTGAAGAGAGAGAGAGAGAAGAGTGAGAGAGAAATTCGAGCGAATGTTCGAAACCGAAAAAGGCTAAAACCGCCAAAAAGCGACACGAAACGGAGGGATGGAAGGTGAGCTGTTTTTATTCGACGGAATCCCAAGTTTTTTTATTTTTATTAATTTTTTCGACGCGGGTTGTCATCCAAATTGTGCGTTTCGAGTTCGCTGACACGGGACACGTGTACCACATTAACAGGTTCTGTTTCTGGTCGCTTTCTTATTCGCGACGCTGTCATGTCTTAACGCTGTCAAAAACTCCGTCACACTCTCGCACTTGCCTTTGCTAATTGCTTATTGCTTATGGCGATTACCAGGCGCGACGTCGTTTTAGCTGCTCCTCGCTTGGAACTCCTATCCGTCCCTCGCGTTTTTCTCGTGTGAAGTCAACTATCAAGCTGCTGTCTGTCCACCGTCTTCAATTTAGGAAGCATTTAAATTTACATTTAATTATTAAATATATAAATATAATATGTAATAAAAAAAATTAAAATAAATTCTTAAATTATTGTCTTATAAATTTTTTTAAAATTATTAAATAATTTAATTATTAATAAAATTTCACACATTTTTTTGCTGAACTTGTAAGAAAAAAAATGTAAAGTATATGAATTTTTTCATTTAATTTTTTATATTATTTTTTGTTTAACTTTAAATTTAATTTTTTTTATTAATAATCATTCATATAAATACTATTAATACTCAATAGTTATGTGATATTAATATTATTTTATCTAAATTAGCATCTACAATAGTCATGCAAAATATTAATTAAAGAAATTATAAAATATTTATAAATTTGTTAATTTAATAACGATTAAAAAAATAATTAGTTTGATCTATTTAATCATTTGTCTCGTTTTATTATAAAGATTTATTAAATAATCATGGTATGGTGGTTATAATGTAATTAATTAAAGTTAACAAATGTTATGAGTGATCAATTTATAACATACAATTATACATAATAGGACAAACACTAATCACGAACATAAATTAAATTTAGATTCAAACATTAAAATTACATAAATTCACGAACAAAAGTTTTCATAACTCAAACTATGAACTTAGTTACTCATACTAAAAAAAATAATTAAAACAATCATAAGCAAAGTTATAGTCGAAAGAAAATAGTAAATTAGATTATTTCCAAAGATTGAGGATGAAAAGAGTTTCTAATCTTTAAGTATAATTGTTTAAAGCTCCACGCTCCAAATTTCGCTAAGAATTACCAATGATCAAAAGCACGATTGTGAAAGAGATGTATCAAAGGCGTGAGAATAATCATATCAAAAGGATGTATAAGAAGAGTGAAAAGAGATTCCCAAGTCACTACTCCTAAGGTTGGTCTTCTTATAGGTAAGCACGACCATGCGTATTTTTGAAGCACGTTCGTGCTTATTAATGAAGTATAGGCATGTTAGCTGTTGCAAATTTATCCAATTTAGGCTCACAATGTATCCAAAACCTAATTATTGCCTTTTCATATTAATCTTCGTAATAATCATAGAAATTAGTGTAAAAATTTGATAAAATAATAGTCACAAATAAATATATAAGTTATAAAAACATGTCAAAATACAGACTTATCATGTATCATTTTATAAACTTTATTATTATTTTTTTTAGAAGATTCTTTGCAAGTTATTATTTTATATTAATTATTTTTTTATTTTGTTAAATATTTTTCAGAAAAATAAAAATATTTTTTTAAAAAATCATGTTAAATTCACATTAGAAATCACAAGTGCACGTGTAATAATTTATTATATTATTTAATATAAATTCTTTAATTTTTATTATTATCATTATTTTTTATAAAAATACAGTTAGAAAAGATATAGTAATTAATTATTAGGTATAAAAAAGGTTTTTTTTATGAATTTTAATAATTTTAAGGCTAAATTTAAAGGAGAAAAAAGACAAACTATTGATAAATTATCTGTTATTAATGAAGTTAATTATTTTTTAAAATTATTATCAAATAGCTAAAAGTAATCTTATATTAAAAAATACAAAGCTTCATTTATTACTTGCTCAAATAACATATTCCTTAAAAGGCCAATTAGTTAAGCATATTTCTTTTTAGATAATAACTATATCCCTTTCTTCTTTATTTTTATTTCTTTGAAATTTTTGGTTTTTATTTTATAAAAAATTATTTTTTAATCTTTACTTTCTTATTTAAAAAATATTTTTAAAATTTTATTTTATTTCAAGATTAATTATTTATATATATATATTTTTAAAATTTTAAGAATTAGATAATGACTGGTATTCTGAATTTCACAAAAAGTTATTATTTTTAATTTTATTTATAAAAAATAAATACTTAAGTTTTTAAAATTAATAAAAAGTAGTTATATATCATAAATTATATTATATTTTATAAATATTTTTATTATTAAATATTAAAATTATATCTTGTTTGGTAAATAGATAAATATATAATGTATTCACTTATTTAAATAAAAAATAATATCTTATTAATATAAATCTCATAATAAATAATGATATAAAATTTTAGTAATTAATATATTAAAAAATTAATTTTATTTTAATAATTAAGATAAAAAAATTTTAGCCTATATTTCATATAAATAGAACTATAACTTGACTTTTTATTGCAATGTACCCTTTATTTATTAGATTAGCAATTTTTTAGGGTGTATTTGTAAATATATGTTAACATATTAATCAATAGTCAGATTGTATTGAGAATGCAACATTTAATGTTATTAGTATATTAGATACAGTGATATTTTGTGATTTTTAATAAAAATTATTCTATGAAAGTTCTTATTATATGTCTTTATGCAAACTTTAAAAAATTGTTATATTTAATTATTTCACTTATTTACTAACCCCTGCTTAGATATATATTAACCACTAAAGACAAATTTGTAAACAAAAATTAACTTTTCATTAATTTTATAAAACAATATAAAAAAGTAAACAAAACAAATTTGCTAAAGTACAGAAAAAAAAAATGCAGTACTTTAAGCGTTTATTGCATTTGTTTCCTATACTTTAAAAAATTGAATTTGCTAAACGTTTAATTGCTAAAAATTGCTAAAGGAGACAAATTCTAGTTTTATCTATTTATATTTAGGTTTTTACTCTAAAATTTTATATATGAATTAACAAAAATATAATAAATGTGACATATTATGCATTTGTATAAATTAATAAAAATGTTTAAAATATTTAAATAAAATATAATACAAGATTTCTTTATTTTTTGTTTAATTATTTTATACATATTTTATTTATAAATTTACATAAATCAATCACATATCATATGTTTGATATTTTTATTAATTTTTAAATATTTTTTTTCAGAGACTTACCATGAACAACGAAAAAATTAAGAAAATTAAATATAAATAATTAAAATTAAAATAATAAAAGATTATATATAAGTTAAAATATAGAGACTAAAAGTGCAATTAAGTTTACTTTAATTTATGTATATTATGATTTTTATACCATTTTAATTATTTTTCTAACTTATTTCTATCTCTCAATTACGCTGTAAATTATTTAGTAATTATAGAAACATGGCTAGTTTATCGCACTGGAGAAGACAAATGAAAAAATATATGCAAAAGTATTAATTACCATATGCTATTTTCTCATTAAATATTTTTACTTTTTATTTTTATATATTTTGTTAGCTTTTTTTTTAATCTGAATCACAAGTAACCTTTATTGAAAATAGTAATATTTGAGTCAAGTAAATTTTATAAATTATTAATAAAAAAATTATTTTTTATATTTTTAAAATAATAAGTTTACGCACTTATTTCATTTAATGCTTATTGTACAAAGGAGAACGTGACTTATTAAGAGCACGTAGGAGGATATAACTAAGTTCTTGTGCGTTACTTAACATATGGCCAAGGCCATAGTTTAAAAATAATTATAATTTTTTTATTTTAAATATACAAATATTTTAGTTATTAAATAAAATATTAAATATTTTTTAAATAATAAAATATTTATTTTTTATTTAATACTATTTTATAAAAATAATAGGATTAGGACCACACAACATTAATGGTCTAAAAGTCTTTATTTACATGGATGCCACATCAAATTTGCATATTTGCATAACTTCTTACCCTATATTTTTACTAATTCTCTTAATTACTAAATGAAAAAGTATTTAATGTGTTTTATGTTTTTAATACAATAACAAAAAATATTTTTATTTAATAATTACTTTATAAAGTAGTAAAAGGATTAATAAGAGGATTCAGCAAAGCTCTTGCATAAATTAGATATCGTTGTAAAAAATATTCTTATGCTACCTATACAAATGAGCACAAATATTAGAATATTCCACGAAGTGAATAAATTAAAGAGAACTAAACTGAATCTTTTGATGATGTACATTTTTCTCACCAACTAATTTTGGTTTATCCAGGTGACAAAAGAATTGAGAAGAATTTACTTACACATACAAGGCATGGATACAAAGAAACATTTAACCTAAAAGTAGCTTGTAGTGATAGCTTACTACTACTAAGCCTTTTGACTGAATCTTACATGGCGTGCTCTTGGAAAAAATTGGAAACTACCCCTAGTTGCTATGACACAAACAGTGGCATCCTAAACATCTTTAATTTGTACATTAGGATCACAATCATATCCCAAATCATTTCTTTTGAGTCATCACCAGACAAACGAAGGCCACAACTCGAGCAAGTATACCGTAAATAATAAGAGCAACTAAACAAATAGACCAATCATTGACGTTATAGCCACTATTCATAAGTGAACTACAACGTGTTATTAGCCATACTCCAGTATACCTGAGAAAATAGCAAATTGAAAGATTTACATGCATGGCAAGATTTATGGGTAGCTAAAACTGCAATATATGTCCTCAAATGAGCATGAATGCCTTCACTTAGAACTCAATCTTTCATAATAAAAAAAGGAGATAAAAAGTCACTAATTGAAACAGACCTTTCAGCATTTGCAATGATAAAGGCCTCCAAAGCCCAATTTGGGTAGCACAACTTGACAAGGATCTTCATAAAAAGAGTATCTCTTGTTTGGTTGGCAATTAGAGTCATGACAACAGGGAGAAGCACTGACCACTAATAGGAAAGACCAAACAGAAAAATAAGTCATAAATGTGATTATTACCAATAACTTTATATAAGGAAAAAATATGTATATACTGAAATCATCCATACCAACTGTGCTGGAGCAGGCTCAAAATAAATTGCTATCGCATAAGCCATGCCAGTTACACAATACACAAGGCAGAGCAAAACCGCATAATTGCTTGCAAAGCTTGACCTTGGGTTGCTAAAAAAATAGAACATGGACAGATATACTACAGGTTTAATGATTGTATTGAATAGATCAATTGTATCTTTGGCCAAAAAATGAGCTAGATTGCTGATCCCAGATGCACTCTCCCTCCAGTATTGTAATTTATCCAAAGAAAACGATCTAAGAGCTGCAATCTTGCTAAGTAGAGCTGCAAATATGTAATATGAATGAGGAAGGACACATGTAGAAAGCTTTATCTAATGAAAAATAAATCATTTTTTTTCTTTTTTCTAGGAAGTAGTAAGATCCATGTGTAGTATAATAAACACCATGCAAAATTTTTACCAGAATATAAAATTAGATGTGCAACTAACCAAAGAAAGAAAAGAGAGGTTCACTATTAGAGAAGAAAAAGGAGAATAAAAATCAATAAGGAGCTTTCAAACTTACAGACAGCAATGACAGTGTATGTATATCCAAGGGATCCAAATGTTTCATCATTTACTTTCGTAAGCGTTCCTAATATTGCCCCAGCAACTAATAAAAGGAGATAATCAACTGCTTGTGATTTTGCTTCTCGCAGTTGTTGCTTACAAATCCTAAACAAAACATTCATAATTAATAATTAATTAATGTAACCCATGTACTAAACCATTCATTACACAGTACAAAAAGGACAAGAAAAAAAAATACTAAATTTCTAAATAAGCTATGAAATTCTCACTTTTAAACAAAGAAAGGCAGACTAAAATCTTATGTTTCATGCTGAAAACACTGCATTATATCCAGTACATATGTATGTTAAAATACATAAGTAGTTTAGATTCCCGTAATAAAAATCTGTAAACGTGAATTCAAATAAAAGTTACCATTACTAAAGTTGAAATAAATATGAATTCAGAGACGTTTAAATGCAAATTCGAACAACCTAAGAGTTAATAAGCTTGATTATAAGAAACTAAAATCCAGCCTTGTTAATTAGTTGCCTCAAAATGTGATTGTATTGTTTAGATGGATTTACATAAAAATAAATAAATAGATTGCATACAATGTCACTAAAGCTGTCAAATAATAAAATTGTACTAAAAGGTAAGATTTCATACCGTCCAACGTAGTATCTATATTGTCGAGCTACACCTGGAGTTCTTCGATTAGATAAGTCCTTAGTCCTTAAGAAGGTTGCCTCTATATGATCTCGTCGAATCTGAACATTACTCTTCATATCCTCCCAAAACTCACCAGCAAAGGATTGATCAACAGCATCATGCTCTGTGGCCTTTGTTGCATCATTTGCATTTGAGGAAGATGATGAAGCAGCAATTTGATCAGCAAAATGAAGCATATCAGGTGGAATTGGGTAACCATTATGAAGCATCCATCTAATAGGAAGTTGTTGATGGGTCACACCTCCACTTGGTTTCACTAAACCTTCTAGAATGTCAATGAAATGGTCTGGAGGATTCACACGGTCAGGTACATTAATTCCAATGCTAGCAAAGTATTCTTCAACTTTTTTAACAGGACCATGATATGCAGTAAGGCCACCTTTGGCTAGAAATATTATATCATCAAACATTCTGAACAAAGTATAGCTGTATCACAAAAAAAAATAAAAAAAATAAAAGATATAGACTGTATGTTAGAATACTTGAAGAACATATTTTATTTTCCACAATATGTTAAGGGTCTTGCTATTTGGTGTTTTAAAGGAAATGGTTAGAAAATCGAAAAATAAGTTTTTTTTAATTAAAATTACATTAAGAATGCATTAAAAGTCACGGTAGATATGAAATACCATTTCTAATATATATATTTTTTAATTTCATAACTAGTACTCTTAGAACACGGATTAGGTTTACCATATAATAGCTCTAGCAGGTTTTTAGGTATGTGCGTACTTGAGCAAAATAAATTTTTGAGAGAAAGAGAGATATTATTACCTTGGTTGGTGAAGTACCATGCAAATATTTACCCCTTCAAGTGCTTCACGACGAAGTGCTTTAAGTAGTAAAGTGGAAGATGCACTGTCTAGACCAGTTGTAGGCTCATCTAAGATTAATAATGAAGGTTCCATAACCATCTCCATCCCTACATTAACACGCTTTCGTTGTCCTCCAGATATACCTCGCTTTTCTACTGTCCCAACAAGGGAATCCCTCACTGCTTGGAGTCCCAAGGACTCAATTACTCTTTCAACAATCAGAACCTTATCTGGTTTTGGCATATCCGCAGATAGTCTTCAATGATACCAAACAATCATTTAAATCAAACTAACAATTTGAAAGGGACAAAAACTCAAAATAATATATACAAAATAACCTCAAATAATACGAAACAAACTATCAATATTGTCAAAGATAAAAGTAAACATGAACTTAGGAACACATCACATATAATTGGTGAAGTGTCCTAATTTAATTAAGCTTTGAATAAAGTGTAATGATATAGAGGCAATAACAAGCAAAGTACACACTTTTCGAGCATTAGAAAAATAATAAAAACAAATGCTAATTAGTACTCTTAAAACACTAATTAAGAAACTAGAAATAAAAATCTTTCGTTAGCAAACATAATAAATATATCTGTTTTCGTGATTTTTAATACAATTCTATACGTAAATCCCTATATAATTTTCAAGTTCTTAATAAGGGTTCTAGCAAGACCCAAATTTAAAAAAGAGAGATAGAGTAACTATTATAAGACAAATCAGATACCTGCATCTTGCACTGAAACGAAGATTTTCCTCCACAGTCAAGTTTCCATGCACAATATCATCTTGTGGCACAAAACCAATAATTTTTTGATAACAATGAATAGATTCGGGTTTTCCATTGATTAAAATTGACCCTGTCATGGTGCATCCTCTTGCTTTCCCAGCTAAAGCAGAAAGAAATGTAGTTTTACCAGCTCCTGAGGGACCCATCACAGCTGAAACTCGACCTGGCATGAGTTTACCACTCACACACCTCATTAGATGTTTTCTTTTCCCTTTCAAAGTGAGAGTTAAATCTTTGAAAGCTACCTCAATCACAGGCCTTGTTCGAACCTCACCTTCAGTAGCCATTGAAATTACTCCTGAGAAAGTTAAGTTCTTGTTTTTTTCTTGCTGAGCTTTCTCCTTCGCAATTTGACCATAAGCATATCTTAAAATTTGGCTTTGTGTATGTAATTGTTTGCCTTTTGGCATTTGCTTTTTTATATTTTTATCTCCAATTTGTAGATTGAATCCTTCATTGCTATGTGGGTCATTTTCAAGGGAATTCAACATTTTAGTCAGGTTAGTAGGTTCTTTTTGTGTTGTAGATGATTGCTCAGATGTGCTTGAAGAATCACCAAATGTGTCACCTGTAGCAGATTTTCCTTGGCCAAACCCCTTTGATTGATCTGTTTGCTTCATTGATTTTCTTCGAGAAAAGGTGCGAGAAAATTGCTCTTGCAATCCCACCTTACCTCTCTTAGCAACATCTTTTGCTATTTTCCACCTTTCTCGAGCTTGTACAGTTTCTCTTACTTGTCTAGCAGCAGCTTCTCTAGATTTAGCCTTCCTTCTTTCTCTTGTTGCTAGAACTTGATCGGAGCAGTTATAGATAAAGATCAAGAGAGTACTCAATGCAACCTACAAGGAGAAATAATACCAATTATGGTAAACTAGACATAGATTCAAAGTATTTTCATATTATTTCAAAGTATATATGCAAAAGAAAAGCAAGCAAGCTTTGGGACTATAATACTTAAAAAATTTAAATTATAATTTTTTTAGTTTTATTCATTTTAATTGGATGCTAACTTACTTATACGAGACTTTTATTATTTAATAAGGACACTTTTCAATTGATATCATGCTGTATTTCTTCATTCAATGGAAATAAGACATTAGAGTTAGTCAAAGAATAGAGAATGAACCTTAAATTTCAACAATGTATATATTAAAAAAGTAAAAAAAAGCTATGCATTCAAACCTTCAAGAATACTTATTCAAAAGAGAAACTATAACAAAAACTCTAATAGAACATGAAAATAGAAGTGAAGGTGAATGAAAGATTTCCATAGCGCAAAACCAATGAAGCAAAATGAAATAGAGGGGATTATAACCGTATGAACCACAAGATCAGATTCTACTTACAATGAGTAAAGCGCCGTAAGCGTGCATATTTTGGGTTGTCGTATTTGGATTACATGTACTCAACTTGGAGCATGCTGCAAAAATGAACAATACAACCTAAGGTTCTGATTTAATGTCCTCCATTCTTAGACAAAATAGAACTTAGCAATGAGACCAAAGTTAAATCCAATTACTAATAAATAATTTTCAAGATCTAAACCATTTTATCATATTATAAACTATGTTGCAATGTATAATTCTTATTAAGTGAAATTGTTGCTACTTAGATTAAATGGCACCATACTGTTTAATTGTAAAACATGTTGATACAGAAACTGTTAATTTTGAAAGACTTTAAATATATTTTGAACCATTATAAATATGACTAAATTTGATTTTAGTCCAAAAAAAATATTCACAAATTTTAAAAATAGTTTGTATTATTATCCTATGAAGTGATAGTCATTTAATTATGTTACATTAGCAATTATTTTAAGATAACAAATGACGTGACATGTCTAAATGCGCATGTCACATTCTCAGTAAATGGTAGTAAATTATTTTTTTTAAGTTTTTAAATTTATAAAGAGTAAAACTAAAAATAAAATAAAATAGAAGACTAACAAGAACTAACATATATTTTCATCTTTTAAATTTCTAAATGGTTTAATTTTTTCTTTCCTCCGTCTACTTTGAGCAGTTAGGCTTCCTTTCATCTAATACTATCTTTATCAAAGCTTTTTAAGGTCTTATTCACATTTGTCCAGACGACCTAAAGTGAGTTTTCACCGTCATGTTAACTTCAATACCACTGCACCACCTTTGTTAGTGCATAATATTCTTTTTATTCCTAATCCTATATTATTTAGTAAATCAATTGTGGAAAGAGTTAGATTCATTGACGACAATATTAAACGTAAACATTTACACTATTTAATACTTTTTTATAAAATATAAAATTAATCAATTTAACTATTGAATATTTTATAATATTTTGTTGATTATTTATATTAAATTTCAGATAATTTTAACATACGTAGATATATTATTCAAAATTTAATATTTATTTATATTTTAAAAATATATTATCTGTTGAAATAGAGTAATGTAATGAACTAATAATTTTATTTTTTAATAAAATTTTATAATATTAATTTACTTAATAAAAAATATAAATAAACAGTTAAATTTATTAATCTTATATTTTTAAAAAATTATTAAATGACATAAACAAATTTGAGAATTGGTGTTAACGAATTTTTAACTCTTAATTTAAAATAATATTTTGCGAACTTGAATTTATTTTTTTATTGGCTACCAGCATTGAGCTCCAACACAACATTGCTAGTATTATAACACCCAAAGCACTTATATAATTTATCCATTCTATTTAAATCCTGAGGTTTACTTCTCCCTCTTTATTTCTTCATAGTAATGTCTAAATTGACCAAATAAATAATACATATAAAAAATAGACTTACGATTTTCGTGAGTAGAACCCATCCTGCAATAATATCTGGCATTGGGGAAAATGATGAGTATGAATGCTCAGTAGTCAATGCAAGTAATTCGTTGTAATGGGTATGAAAAGAATATTAGCATGTAATGGACATTTTAGAAGAAATTAGGTTGTAGTTGGACACAGTAAATAATTTTTATGTATATGGATAATAAGGAAAAGTATAAAATTTTAACTAAATAATTTTTATGTCAAATAAAAATAATTTCAAGTGATTTTCTTTAAAAGAATTTTAAAAAATATTATACTTAACTTTTTATAAGTATCATTCATAACTTCTTTCATATTTAATTTTCACTTTAAGCATAATTCATTATTAATTTCAAATCTTATAGAATTTTAAAATTCTCTGTCCAAATACAAACTTAAATGGTAACAAACAGAAATTGAAACAATTTAAATAAAAGCAAAAAAGAAGTATGGGATAAATCAATACCCACTATCACAAGAAACCTTGCGTGTTGTAGTTGGGCAATATGATCCTGGAGAACAAAAGATATCACTATTGTTTACCACACCAGTCCAAACATCAGCACTGCCACAAGTATGATTTGTATCTCCCTGAGGTATTTGGTAACTATATCTGCAAATTTGTTTTAATTGTTGAAGCTTAGAAAATAATGGAGAAAAATTAGCATCAAGAGTAGAACTTACGGGTCACATACTCCAGTCGCATTGTTCAGTTTTGCAAGTGGACAATAAGAACCTAGTGGGCAAGCTTCATTGAGAGGAGAATCAGAGAAAAGTTAAAAACAGGATAGTTGAAGAACAAATTTTCATTCATAAAAAAGATAGTTCCAAATTTTAAATGAATAAAAAGTTGTAGGGGCGCTGTTTTTCAAAACTCTTTAGAACGACATCAACATGGATACTGAATACAAGTCAAGTTACTTACTATAAAATCATGATGACATACAATAGCTTTTACTGCAAAGCTCAATCATGACCCTTTTGGAAAATATATACCTCACTATTTTAGCACGACACTAACATTTAGTATGTTTTGAACAAACTCCAACTTGCATAAATTATTACTCATAGAACAATACTTGGGAATTATCTTCTTTTTTTACTACCATGACACATCTATGGAATGTTTTTTCTTATGCTTGGGTATCTACATGTTTGATTAACCCCAACCCTAAGTTTTTAGAATTTCTTCTATTGGATTCTCCGTTGCATCTCATTCAGTGATAGTATACTCATATTTGCATAGTCCTTTAAATAAAACATCATGCCATTTCTTCCAACCAAGCAATTGAAATATCATGCCATAAAATCCCAATAATTATCGCAATTTCTTAAATTATTAATAATTAATGTTAAAATTATAAGAGACATCACATACGTACGTATCATGCAAGTCAATCCTTGAGGGCAGAAAAACCCTTCACAACATGGTTGGCAATTACTAGTTCTAAAAGGAATGTCCTTTATGTCCTTTTTCAAGTCAATACTCTTGTCCGCACTACAACTCCAACCAGGTTCACAACCGGAAAACCATGAGGTCAAATTGCAATTCTTGTTAGGTTTTACGTAATTGCTAGGTGATGCCGCTGGATCCAAGAAGCCATGGAAGTAGAACCTTATTTCAGCCGCAGAGCATATTTTATCTCTGAAATCTCCTGTCAATCAAATCACATTATATATAGGAAAAAGTATATATAGTTAATAACAATAATTGGCTTCGGGGGAAAAAAAAGACAGAGAGTTCCTTGCCTACAAATTCCAATGCCTTAATTACACAAAAGTATGCCTTTGGCACCGAATAATGGATAAAAATCATTATGAAGAAATTTTGCTTATATTGGGTTGTCAAAGGCATAATCTCATGGAACACACGTTTATAAGAATCGTGGCTTCTTTTAATCATTATAGTAAATGCTAAGCGAAACCAATACTAACCTCTAAATAAAATGGATTCTTTTCTATTAATGTGAGTTTCAATTGGAAACTTTCACACTCTTTTTGAGTTATAATCCCTGGGGTTAGGCTTATATTTTTATATCTTTATCATTTTTCAAGTATAAAAAGACTACTTGAAATCCTCTAACACTGGGTAATCGTATCTTTGTGCAAATGATAGTCTTAGATATAAGATTATTCATAAGCCTTCACCCAACAACTTAAGCTTAAGCTTTTAAGAGAGTTGGTTATTGGCAAAGTATTTGAGCTTCAATGTCTAAATGGTCGTGAGTTTGGTCCTTTTTGCCTTCATTTTTCTAAATAAAAGTTGAATTTCGGCACAAGGTAGGGTGTACTTGTGCATTTTTCATGCTTCAAGCCTAATAAGCTATTACATAAAGGGGCGTGTTTGATATAAAATCACTTGAAAACCTTCACCTAACAGTTTTGGCTCTTGAGAAAGTTTACTTTAACAGCTACTACAATGTCAATTTGAGGGCTCATACCTTTTTTCTTAACACAAGAATCCACAAAATCTAGCCTTCCCTTAAAATCAAATGCTTCCTCCCAATCTTTGTTCCTGAAAGATTGGAAATAATATAGTCAAAAAGAAAGCACAAATGCTTCAAAATAGTTGTTTTGTGTCATACATGTTGAACATTCCTAATTAACATGCATACACATTTTGTTTTACTTTTGAATTGTCATGGTAAGCTGGCCTCAGATATACCGTATCTACAATGACCACAGCTAACTTTTGAAACGTTAACGTGGTAGAGGTGTTCAAGCTATGATTTTTGAGCTCATATCTTAAAAATGCCTTTAATATTCATGTTCCTATGTTAAGCTAGTACTTTATTTATTTGTCTTCTATGGATTCTTGGTATATGGTCCATAACCGGGAAAAATGTAAAGTAAATGAATATGAGAAGGCAATAATAGAATATGACTAACTCACACATCCTTGATGCAGAAGCCTAAACTTGTTTTAATGTCCTTATTTAAAAGGGAAGCGAGATTTTCAAGCTCCTTATAGATTTCTTCAGAATAAAAGGAGGGGGCAAAAGTGTTATCGGCACATTGAATCCGTGATAGGAAAGAGAATGACAAGAAAAGAAGAGGGAACAAAGAAACACAGTTCTTCATTTGCATAACTTGGAGGACACCAAATCAAGCAAACTTTGAAGGAAAAAAGCACGCCATGAATTAGTGAAAAATGGATAGCAAGAGAAGGTGAAGGTGGAAGAAAGAGGAGGGAGGGAGAGGGTGATGATGAGTTTGAGGGAGTGAAAGGTTTCTTCATTGGTAATGGTGGAGTTTGTGGAAAATGTTGAAGGGCCTAGTTTTGGGATGAAGAAATGGCCGAGAGAAATGGGTGCCTATATTCAAGGATGTGCATTCTTTTCACTCTCTCTAGTTTGGTTTGTGTCTTTGAGCTAAAATGCTTGCCAATATGCATTTTTAGCATTTGTTCTTTATGGTAATCGAACTATACTTTATTTTGCTTTATATTTCGACTATTTCAATATTCATTTACAATATATCTTGTCTTCAAAATTATATCTTTTAATGAAATATTATAAAGCCAATAAATTAAAATTTTACATATAACAATTACATACTCATAAAGCTATAAAATTTTATTATTTAATTTATAATTTTAAAAAATATGTAAACCCTTGTAAAATTTATTTTTCAATTACATAATTAACAAAAAAAATTGCTAACCCGTATTAAGTGTATATTTAGTTTAGATCATTTTTATCAAGTATTTTTTTTTCAATATCTTAAAAGAACTTTTAAAGCGTATCTAAACTTCAGCTAAAAGGAATGTATACGAAGCTTTAAGGGCTGTTACCCATAAAATGGTGCTTAAAAAGAATTGTCGGCAATGGGTTACAAGGAGAAAAGTAAAAAAGAAATAGGAAAGAAATTTTTATAATAAAATATTAGGAGCTTTTGAAACTCTTTCAAGTTATATTAAATAAATAATAATTTAAATAAAATGTACTGAAATTAAAAAAATTACATTATCACTTAATTATTAATTGTCATATTATTAAAATTATTGGTTTTTCTAATAAACAGTTTAAATATTATACCTACTGTAATTTCTAATTAGTTAATAATGTAATTTTTTTATGTTAACAATGTCCCAAAATAAAATAAGTCATTGTTTTTGTAAAATAAATTTTTTATTTAATTAAATGGACTAAACTTGCAAGATTTAAAGAAGAAAGACTTAAACACAAATGAACAAAGAGTGTTAACTTTAACATATTTTTTATTATTAGTTGTAATTTATTAAAATTTATAAAATTATAAGATTAATTAAGAGTAAAATTATATAATTTTACAATTTTTAATAACTTTTAATTAATATACAATATATTACTAACCTTTTTAAAATAAATATTATGTTATATTTAAATATACACCACTTTTTACTTATCATAATCACCATTAAACTCTTTTGACCAATTATTTGAAACACGTGGATTTAAAAAAATTACATGAAAAAAATATAAACACAATTCATAACAAAGTTTTCACAGCAAAGTTGGGGGAAACACAACAATCAGAAATAGACATAATGCACCTGGATTCAATAACTTCTTAAACTTTTGAAACCGAACTTCCAAAGGCAACACGAATTGATTCACTACACCTTTCATGACACATAACTCAAACTCACTCAGTCAATGACTCTTACTGGTCAACAGTTCGTAGCCTCCACGAAGGTTCTCAATGGATACAAAGCCCTCATGTTCCTCACTTCCTTGTACGTTCTGCTTTTTGAGTCAGTTACGGTAAAACAAACACAAAAAAAGAAAATGTTCCGTTATAGTTCCGTATTAGCACTATTTTTCCGTTTAGTTTCTACGTAAAAAATTCTACACTTTAATTCTTATATAACGATCACTAAAGAATTATTCTCTTTATTTATCAAAGCAATAATAATCATAAATTTAATTCTTATACTTAATATCATTTTTATTGTAATTTTTGTATGAAAAATTATACTTTATTTTAGTCTTTTTTATAAAAGGCGATATATTTTAGCTTTAATACATGAATGAAGAATTTCATTTATATATACTAATAGTATGTTTTCACGGACATCTATTCAATAATCATGAAATATTTTTAACGAGAATAACTACCTTTTACTATAATTAATTCACAAATTTTATCTACCTTATAAAAAACAAGAAAACAAGGATGTACATTAGAACTTACTTTTTTCCATTTTAGTTTTTTAATTTTTAAAAATTATATTTTAAAACAATTTAAAAAAATTATTTTTAAGAAAAAAATAAAATAAAACGTATGTCAATAAATAAAATTTATTAAAAAAACTATTTTTATAAACGGAAAACATAAACTTTTCTCTTCTTGTGCTGTATCTGACTTTACTGCAATGCAACCAACTACGTGTATGTGTCAATCCACCGAAAAGATAAAGAGACAAGGCAGGGTATGTGTGGCACCTTGACTTGACTTGCCAAATGATGCTTCTTCCCCACACAAGAACACAACAGCAACAACGTAAGCTAGCTGTGCCTGTTTCTCTCTTTCTTTTAATTACTTGGGCTCTCGAACCCCAAAGACACGTTCACACTACACCCAGTTTCCATTTTAAACAATAAAAATATATTATTATAGAGATATCATCAATTAAGGTTGTTGATTTGATTTTGCTTCCAATTTGGTTGGTGTGCTGACCCTGCAGTTGCCGTGTGGTGACTTCTCCTCTGCCCAATTTTGAGTCTTTCTCTTCCTTCTCCTCCTTTTGGAACCAATGGCTTGAGTGGGTCTTCTCCTCTCAGATTCTGGCTACAAAACAAAGGGGAATTTGTCATTTGTTTGATGAGTTCGCACAAGCTCAAGCTTTTTGCGATTAAACTATCTGTTTGAACTTGAGGTGAGTTTTAGTTTCAAGATGTGTTTTTTTGTTTTGCTTTGTAAACAAATAAGGCCTGCAATTGATCCCAAATGAAATGACTTAAATGATGTATAAAGGTTTCTACTTTCTAGTTATCTCCTCTTTTGGAATTCTGTTATCAATTTTATGTCAATTTTTTTAGTTTAAAATTGATTAGCCAAAAAATAAAAATAAAAATTGACTTGCTAGAATAGGATTGATTCTCTGAATCATGTTGGCAAAATATCTTAGATTTAATTAGTTAATAAAATTTCTGTCGGGGTGTATCTGAAATTAGAGTTGTTGGGAAAGGGGTGGACGGGTTAGGCTAAAACGGGATGGAAGCAAATGGGTATGTTTTTTTCCTGTCTGAAGCGAAGTATTAGGAAAGTGTTCATGTACGACCTTCAATTTAGATGCCATGTTGCTTTCGAATGATTCTCTGTTTCCTAATTTGTTCTTCAATTTTGTGAAAATGCAGTTTGGTTCCTGTCAGGTTGCAATGAAGTGTCTTCCATTCTACTATAGGGAGAAGAAACATGATCCTAAGAGTTTGCAATCAATTTCGGGACGGTCCAACAGTTCTAATTATGTGGAGGCTGAGATGAAAAGGTCTGGTTCTGAATTGAATTCTCTGGATGCCTCAGACAACAGCACAGACTCCCTCAGGAGAAATGCATTTCCCAGTTTGTCCCAGAGACCCAGCAACCTGAGAGTATTCACTGTTCCTGAACTAAAATCAGCCACTAAGAATTTTAGTCGCTCCGTTATGCTTGGAGAGGGTGGGTTCGGGTGTGTCTACAAAGGGTTGATCAAGAGTGTTGATGATCCTTCCACAAAAATTGAAGTTGCTGTTAAACAACTTGGTAAAAGAGGAATTCAGGCAAGGTTTTTCCTTCTATGTTTCCCTCTTGAAAGTTTTGCAAATTTAATTGTTTCTGCAGTGTCAGGATGTATCTTAGTAAAGTGTATAATGCCTTGTCATGCCATGTATAGTTATTTGGCTCATGGTGGCGTACTTTATGTGTTTAAAAATCATAATGCAAGTTAAAATAAGCATGAATAAAGCTTAACAATTGCATTGTCACATAAGTTGCTTCAAGTAGAGACAATTAGAAATTAGAATAATGAATGTTTATGTTCCCATATTTAAAGTTTAAATGTTTACAAACTTTACTTGATCCTCAAAGAACTCTTCATGCAAAGATGCTTGCTCAGATTGCTACATAAGATATGAATTATGTGTTAACCTTTGTGTACTTACTTATATAACGTGTGTGTTACTTTTCTTCTGCTGTACAGGGGCATAAGGAATGGGTAACAGAAGTGAATGTTCTGGGTATTGTGGAGCATCCTAATCTGGTGAAACTAGTGGGCTACTGTGCTGATGATGATGAAAGAGGAATTCAGCGGCTTTTGATTTATGAATATATGCCCAACAGAAGTGTGGAACACCATTTATCTCCACGAACTGAAACTCCTCTCCCATGGGGTAGAAGGTTGAAAATAGCCCAAGATGCAGCTCGTGGGTTAACATACTTGCATGAGCAAATGGATTTTCAGGTATAGACATATAACATAACTCTCCTATTTATTTAAACAAAGCCTGGAGTAGAAAATAGAAACTTTTTTCGTCCCATTTAGATATCCCATATCTTCCAAAAGAAAAAGAAAAGAAAGCTAGGAGTGGATAAATTGGACTTCTTTAAAATTACTTTATGTTGTGCAGCTTGTTATTGCAATGCTAACTATGTGTATGATATTTAGATAATTTTCCGAGATTTTAAATCTTCAAATATCCTCCTCGACGAGCAGTGGAATGCAAAGTTGTCAGACTTTGGGTTAGCAAGATTGGGACCAGCTGATGGGTTAACTCATGTCTCAACAGCGGTATGGTCATGTTAATTTGTCTCAGATTTCATATATTAATCCATTCTACCCATATGAAGAGATGTAATAAACAAGAGAGGAATTTGGTATAAGAATAGTGACATGAATCTAAAGGCATCAGTAGAGCCAGTTAACAATTTTATGGGGCCCAGAGTAAATGTCATGTCAAATATGTCATCATATGAATCATGATCCATACTGGAAATCACAAGGAGACTCTTGGTTCCTTTTGATGTCTACCTACCTATGTTAAAAAATGAATTCATTTCTTGGGTCAATCTAATTCTAAATCCTCTTACAACATCTTTTCACTAATCCTCCTACTTATTAAATGAAGAAAGTATTGAATGTTTATGTTTTCAACTTATGAATGTATCTACTTTTTAATTTAATACTTTCTTTATTAAGTATTTGGAGAATTTGTAAGAAGATACTGTAGCAAGATATAACATAAACACATTAAAAATTACTCTATTTTTTGTTGACAACTGTCAATTTAACATGGTCATATATTGATTGATGAAATTACCCGTTTTAGTTAAAAGCATACATGATGCATCATACTATCCACAGTAACCAGCCATTTATAGATGGAATCCTGTAAATCAACATAAAAATTTATATGTTCATCAGGTTGTAGGAACAATGGGGTATGCAGCTCCAGAATATATTCAAACCGGGCGTCTCACAGCAAAGAGTGATGTATGGAGCTATGGCGTCTTCCTCTATGAACTCATTACTGGCAGGCGTCCTATAGATCGAAATCGCCCCAAGGGTGAGCAGAAGCTGTTGGAATGGGTAAGGCCATACCTTTCAGATGGGAAGAAGTTTCAAATAATATTGGATCCAAGACTTGAGAGGAAACAACTCTTCAAGTCAGCCCAAAAACTTGCTATAATAGCTAACAGATGCTTAGTCAGAAACCCAAAGAATCGCCCAAAGATGAGTGAAGTATTAGAAATGGTGAACCGGATTGTGGAGTCTTCGGTGGGTGCTAATCCACAGCCACCCTTAAAAAGTGTAGTAGCCTCAGCAGAAGCTTCTCAGGGCAATGAAATAAAGAACAAAAAAATGAACATGGATCCAAATCCAGATTGTAATTGGTTAAGAATGTGGAGGCCAAAGCTTTTAAGAGCATGTAGAATATTGTAGTATTGGAGGCAAAGGTTCTTTACAACAAGATATCACAGTACTTGGGAACCACAAAGAGCATGAGATGTTAATGCAAGTGTTGTCACAAAACTGGGAAACCTCTTCATCTCCTTATGCAACCTGCGTGGTACTCAAGGTTTTTCAAGCGATTTAATGAGAATTCCAGTGATGCATATGAGCCTGGCCTGTGATATCCAAGTAGATAAAGAGGAATGAAGTGAGAATTTCAGAGTAGAGAATTTCAAAGTAGAGAGGCTTGTGATATGCTTGCTATGAGCCTGGCCGTGATGCATATGGTTGCTATCAATTTCGAGGCCATAATGCGAAAACTAATCACTAGAATGTAATGTACTTTCAGATTAACAGAATCTCTATGCTTTTATGTGCATGGTTACATCATATTAAGTTGTGGTCTCCCATCTATAGTTTATGTACTTAATATAATTTCAAGAATATATTTTTCATTTAAAATATTAGGAGTGTAATAACTTATGTACAGTTATACACGCATACATCCCCATCATGTAACATTTCTGAAAACATCCTCACCACCGTGTAACCTTTCTGACATGATCGTGCCAACACTGTCATATGCAAAATTTGATGTGATATTATTATCAAGCTACAGAACATATTTATATCAGTAAATTACATGTAAGCAAATGTTAAGAATAACAATTATTGCTTTTTTCTCTCTGTTACGTTCTGTATCGTTCTTGTTTCGAAACAGTTGAGAAATATGGATAAGCAAGTTAAATATCATTAGAAATAATTACACAGTCACGAGAAAGAGAAAAAATAAAAAAATAATTTAAAGAATCTTGAAAAGCTTAGAAAAAGAAATGATCCTGCTAACTAGATTTAATTCGAGTTTGAAAATTTAATTAGGTGAACAAGTTATTAGCATTTCACGGCGTAAAAGTGTTACTTTAAATTATTTTAAAAATAAAATTTTATTTTATTCTTAAATTTGATATTTTGTTTGCTAAAGAATTGAAGACAAAAAACTAAGTTTTAAAATAATTGACCTTGACAGGTTTTTATCCTAAGCCATGAAAAATCAAGATTACATAGTTTTGGAAAACTAAACATATTTTTTAAGGTATTTGAAAAATGAAAGTTACTTGAATATTAAAATGATTTAGAAAATAATATTTTGTAAGAAAAAAAATTTTAATTTTAGAATAATATAATTTATAAATGATAGAGTAATTTATTTATCACTAATATTCATTTTATTTGAATTTGAAAAATTATATTTGATTATTATTTTTAAAAATAAGAAAATATTAAAATATAATTCATGTTGCAAGGGATAGCAAAAATTGATATCTTACGATTTTATAACGTGTGAATAACTATAAATACTATATTTATGGGAAAAAAAAATCATTCTAGATAATTATGAGTCGGTGATATAAAATTCCGTTTGTAAATATATTAAAGATCCAAAATTCCATAAAATTCTAACTTATTGTACATACACTGTTTGAATTATCAGATTGAATAGATTGTTGGGATAAGCAATACAATTCGACCAAAAATTACTAAAAAGTAGAAGGGCCGAATTGTAAATGAGATACATATACAATGATATTTTAAATAATAAATTATAAAATAATTATATTTTAAATATTTAATGATAATATGTTATATTATTAATACTATTAATTGATAATTGATTTTTTTAACTTGCATAAAACATGTAAATTCAATTTGAATAAACTTTTTCATAAATATTTATAAAAATAAAATAAATTAATTTTTTTGTCATAAATTAAAATTAATTTATATTTTTTACTTATTTCACTCCTTTAAAACTTAAATTATATATATTATTTTTTAATTTATAGATAAAATTTTATTATTTTTTTGTAATAATTTATCTAAAAGTTCATTTAAACTTTTTTTATGATTTATCATTATTATCACTATTCTCTCTATCACAATTTCTATTATTATTATTATTATTATTATTATTATTATCGTATTACTGTTAATATCGTCACCTTTATTGTTAAATTATTTAATATTATCGTATAACTGTTATCATTACTATTATCACCTTTTATTATAATTGTTATTAACGTCGGTCCCAACTATTATCGAAATCATTAGAAAAAACATTAAAATTGTGAGTAGCCGCCCTTATCATTTGCATAGATTTTATGTAATTACCCATTAAATTATCTGGTGTGTATTAAACAAAAAATAAAATAAAAATTCTATTCATATTCTTTTTTACTCTTATATTTTTTATCCTTTTTATTATGACCACTAAATATACAAAAATAAATATATTTATAAAATACTTCACATAGCATACGTGCATCAAATGATAACAATAAAAGGATAACTGAAAAAAATGATATAACAACACTTTCAAATAAATTTTGTGACTTTCTGTATCAATAGTATTAATTGTACATGTAAAAATGTTTTGCATAGTAATTCAATTATCATCGTCCATTTTTTCTCTCTCTTTTTTCCATCTAATTTACAGAACTTTTGTATGCTCATTTATTCAGTGTAAGAATCATTTCTCTTTTGATTTTACTTAAATATTCCTAAAGAGAAGCAGCAAATAACACAATTAGAGGTACATAGAGTGTTGATTAAGTTTCTGACCCACCAACACAAACACTCCATGTTTTAATCGTTAGGCTCATATATCTGTTTAGTTTGAAAAAACGTGACGAATATAATACTATCAATAAACACGTTACCTCTTCCGTTTACAAAATGGTAGCTGGCCATGGCCACATCATAAACTTGTCAAAAAACACTTCAATTTTTAGGCTTCTCTTACCCCAAACATACATATAAGACAAAATTAAGGAAAGTTTTTCTTTTTTATTGATCCAAAATTAAGGAGTTTTGCTAGTGATCAAGAGACATGTATTTTTATTATAATGGATATTGTTAACAAGAGTCTAATGATACTAAAGAAGAAACATTTAATATTTGTCTTTAAATGTTCTTAGTTATTTAAAAAGTGTTATTTTTTAATACCATTAATAGTTATCTTTAATAACTCGTGTATTTTAATATTTGACGACAATATTTTCGTGTTATCATATAAAAATAACGCGGGTGTGCATTTTTTTTCAATTATCTTGGTTTGTATTTATATGATATTAAATACAAATATTTTAAGATGTGGAATTACTCACAAATATAATAATCTTAATCAAGGATAAAGCATTACTTCTGTCTCACTATCACAAATAATTAATAAATGAAAACCAATCCACACATAAATGTATAGTTTCCATTTTCACAAGAATTATGCATCGGAATTGAAGGCCCCGGGTAATTAACTGTGTCCAGTTTTCTGCACATAACGAATTTTAAAGCTACAGAGTTTTTAATACTAAAGTAAATTATATATATATACACAGAATTTTTTTATACTAGTGTAAATTTAAAAACTCATATATTTAATTTAAGTCTTTCCTTTAACTTAAATTTAACGGATTATAATTTATTATTTTATTAACTGTTAGATTTAAGTTAAATAAAAGACACAAATTTAGTATAAAAATTTTTAAATTTACATTAGTGTAAAAAAAATTTTTTTTTATGTATATATGTGTCAGTTTTATATATAAAATTTTTACAATGAAAATATTGAAAAAATTAATTTTCTTAAAATTAATTTAACTTACTCAACACATAATTAATTTTAAAATTCTCAAAATGTTTTCCATGTAAAATCAATTCTCTCTGATTTTGTTGGCCGGCCTCCACTACGATTGATGCCACACCAAGTTAAGAGTCAACTCTTGTTTTAGTTTTTCCTTATAAAACATTTTTATTTTAAAAAATCTTTATTAAAAAAATTAGTGTGTTTATTTAAATTTAAAAAAATAAAAGAATCAAACTTCTAATTATTTTGAGAAGTTATACTTTGAGTAACTTCTGAAAAAAAATTATAACTACAACTGCAGTCTAAAATAAAAAATAATTATAATTATAATCACACAAAAATAGCTTATATTTTACATAAAATGTATAAAAAGCAAACAACTTTTTATAAAATTTTAAAATATTTTTTAAAAGTTTGAACTCAAATAAATTCTTTTAAATTAAATTTTAAAACATCATTTTCAAACACAAATCAATTGTATAATTTCATTTATTTTAAGATCAACTATTGTGAATATATAGTGCAAACATTTCTTATACAGGTCTTCTAAAAACATCAGAGTATAAGTTTTAGGCATATTTTCTAACAATATGATACATCATAGTCGGAAAATGCTATGTTGTAAGTCTCAAAATAATTAACAACTAACATTAAGAAGATTGAATTTAAAATAAAAACATTCTTTTATATGTCATCTTTCAATTAATATAAAGGAATTAAAAAAATAGAGGGATTATTTCAATCTCATATTTTTATTTAAAAAGAAGTCCATTGAAAGTTGAAACTCTACTCATCCAACTTGATCATGTTTACATATATATACATACCCAACTTGTCTGTGGTACACAGCTCCTATGATAGTGCACATATACAGTATACTTGATCATTCTTGGCTTATATACCTATGTATTATTTTCAAGATAGGTACTGAAGATCAACTCTGACGTCAAAGAAAAGAGCACACGCATTACTTTATTTTTATTGCATGGACATAGGCTTTTATCCTTTGAATGATTTGAGGGGTTGAAAATATGGAAAATTTTATAATGGAAACAAAGGAGTGGAGTGGAGTGGAGGAAAATGTTATTTGACTACTTGGGATAGGATAAGAAAATGCACAAACAAATGCTTTACTATGCTACTGTAAGTGTGACAGAAATCAAAAATATCCTAGATGAAAAATGGTAAATAGATTCTCACTAACACATTTTTAATTATTAATTAAGTTTTATTAAAATGATATGAATATTACTCTTTCTTATTCATAAATTAAATTTTTTTATTATTTTTAATAAATTTAATTAATAATTAAAAACATATTTAAAAAATATGTTGCTCCTCAACCAGATATCTTTACAATTTATGAGGGTCGGTTGATGAGCATTATTTGAGGATCTCCACCAATAATAAAAGGTCATGATTTTCAAGATCATATATGGTACAGAGTTTGTTCAAATCTAATGTTTCAGGTGAGGCCACATGTCGTTTTCCTTAACTGGTAGTTTATGAAATTCTCAAAAGAAGAACAACTTTTAATTTTTATTTTTATGTTATTACAAGTGTTATGGAGTCAGTTTTATTTTGAGTTAAAAATATGTATAACATAATGGAATTAATTTTTTCAATGAATATTATATATATAGACAAAAGTATCAAACTTAAATTTTTAATTAAAGATAACCTAATATTATGTATTATTTGAATCAATTACATGTCGGTAATTCAAGAAAATCTTTAAATCAAATTAAGTTTATTTTCTTAGAAAAAGGAAATGAAAAAATAAAGGCTTAAAAATAGAAAGATCAGGTCCCAATAAGTAAAAAAATGAAAATCGCAATCAACATTTGGCTATCAACTGAAACCATAAACTAGTGCTATATCTATCGTCTTAAGCAGAAAAAACACAAAATTGAATCACATCAGAAATAATTTATATCCTCTGAAATTGTAACTGGCGTGACTCACGAGTCATGACCATAATTAAGTATTAACTATGTGAGGCTACTTGGGTCAATATAAAATCAAACTGATAATCTTTACTTTATTTTAAATTAAAAACTTTAGCTTATTGATTGATTGTTGACAGAAAACGAATAGAGTATTTGATAGTAGGTATTTTCTCACTACTCGCCAAATGCCAATGCAGACCTCACAATAGACATAGGAGACTATCAACATATAGCTTTAGAAGTTATGTGAAACTATTTTGTAGAAAACCTTTGTAAGTGAAAAGCTTTACAAATATTTATATAAAATTGAATGAATTATTGTAAAAAGAGAGCAATAATGTATAAACAATTCATTGTTTCAATATTTTTTTAAATTATTGTAATAATTTTTATTATGAAAATGTTTAAAAGATTATTTTTAATTAATTTTAATATAAATTAATATAATATTAGTAAAATCACGTGTTATAATAAGTTTTAAAAGTTATAATATTTATAATTTGATTCTTAATAAATTTTTTAAATTTAAAATCTCAGTTTCTTAGATATTTAAAATAAAATTTTTAAAATATTTTTTAAGGTAACTAATTTTTAAGAATATAATTATTCATTCATGTAAAAATCAATCACATTTATTTAAATTTATTTTCATTTCTAATTAAATTTAATAATTTTTTATATCTTTTTACAACTTATTCGAAGATAGATTAAGTAATTGTTAAAATTTAAGTGATAAATGTCTAGAATAAAATATTTAAGACAAAAAATTAAATAATTCTAGTTTGAAATATTATCGAAAAAAAATTTATTCAATTTCTCTTTATTTTTCTTTCTTAATAATATATAAATATATTTTTTAAGTCTATTATAAACTTTAAATTTAAATAACCATACATTTTTTGTATTATTATATTTTGAATTGTGATTTTTGTGAGTGAAACTAATTAAATTTAAAAATATATATTCATCCTAATTATCTTAGAAATTAATTTTGGTATAATCAAAATAGTGATAATAATTAAAAGATGTATTTGAATAATAAAAATTACTAAAAATTCATTCGTTATAGTTTTCACTTAAACTATATATTATTCGTTTAAGTAAATTATAAATAGTGATAAACTAATAAATTTCATCAAAACTTGTTTAAGTCAATATAAATTAGCTTAATCGTATCATAGACAGTGACAAACTTCAAAATTTTGTCAAAATTCATTTAAGTCAATATAATTTTGCTTAAGCCAAGTATTATTTACTTAAGCAAATATTTTAATATTTTGTGTAGCTTACATGAAATAATTTTAGTGAGTTATTTTTAATTTATAAATTTTACTTAAACTAACAAAAAATAACTTAAGTAAAAATTACATAAATTGTATGACATAAAAGTCACTATATAAAAATTTATTTTTATGATGAATTAAGACTAAATGAAAATGAATAGGAAATTTTAATTTTAAAAATTATTAACTTTATATATAATTTTTTTATTTAAAATTAAAACTGAATTAGTGTATATAAATGCATACTTTTTAAAAATTATCACCTAGATACAGGATGCACACAAGTTATGTAGTTTAAACAAAATAACATGTTTTAAAGATATAAAATTATAAGTTTTAAAAGTATAAAAAATAATTTTATAAATTTTTTAAAAAATTAAATAATAAATATATAAAAATCAATATTATAAATTTACATGTTAAATATCAGATATATTTATATTTTTAAAAATATATGTAATGATTTTAAAAAAATTAATTTATTTATGCACTATTTACTTTGTTGATTTTTATATACCATTTACCTTGCTAATTTATGTTAGTATGAAGTATTAATGTTACAACAGTAGTCGTAAAAACACAGGGGATACAAATAAAAATAATAATAATATTTATATAGTTTTTATACAATTTATCGTAACAAAATAATGTGGTAACTTACGTACCAAGTTATGATACGAAAGTGCGGGACACATGTGCTGCTGGTTTTCTGCTCTTAATTGTTCCTTAAACCGACCAAGCTTGATGTGATGCACTCCTTCGTGGAAAGCTTGCCCTTTAGGAAATAATAAATATATAAAAACATTAATTTAATTTTTTTTTATCATTGTATAAATCTCTGTTTTATAAGAATAAATATAGAGAAAATAAAGGTCACCCTCATCCAAGTTTTTAAAAATTAGATTTTAAGTTATGATATTGAGTTTAGGGTTTAGGGTTTAAATCGGTTATTTATTATAACTTCGCTTGTAACAATTTTCAATCAAACTACAAAGAAAAATCAATATTCCTTTTTCTTTTCTGAAAAAAAAAAAAACGTAGACGCGAGTGTATTTATTTATTTATTTTAAATTTATATATATTCCTCTGCCAAAACATGTTACTTTCAAGAGTGGAGTTTGTGGTAATCCTGCTCCAATCACAGACGTTGGTTTTGATACCTTCTTCACACAGCAACGAATCTGAACCGTCAGCTTATCCAAATCTTAATCAACAGTCACTGATACAAAATATATTTTTAAGTTCCGACCTTACCAAAATTTAATCCTATTGATTAAATCATGAGGAATGGCCAAAAGGGTATGAGATTTATGTTTTAGATTTTAACGAAATTTTTGAGATTAAAGAAAGGCCTTAAAACATGCCGCCCAATGCTTCAAAATACAAAACAATGAAGCCAAATCAAAAGAAGAAGAAGATGATGTGAAACCTTTAACAGCGTGGCAAATTGTATATAAACGCGTTAAGTGCACCTTTTTATCCCATTTTCTTAGCATAAATATTCAATGCTTCACCCTCATCTTTTTTTGCATTCCTACCTCTCATGTACAAACTGTGATTTCTGAATCCCTTTGTTATCGTTATTGTTGCTGCTGTTGCTGTGCTCTTCTGCACTTTTCTTTTCATGAGAAGGGAGGCCTTGAGGTTGTTTGAATTCAGGTTGTGCTGAATCCAAGGTGGGGTGGTTCTCAGCTTCTTCGATGTTTTGCTTTGTTTAATTGATTATGCTGTTCAATTTCTGGTTTTTTTTTTTTTTTAAATGTTGTTGTGTTGGATCATTTATTGTATTCCAAGTTGGACCCTTTTCTTTTCGAGCTTATTTGGGTTTGTTTTGGATTGGTATAAGCAATATATATAGGATGATTTGGATTTCAATTATGGTTTGTCTCTTTTGCTGGTTTTTCAGCACAGTTTTGAATTTGCATAAGTGACACTCCATACCGTGTCTTACACTCAAGTTATGGGGAATTAGAGTCATAGACATGGAATCAGCTGTTTGTGAATTGTGCTTGTTGTCCTTTTTATATAACACAAATATTGGGACTAGAGTTTTAATGAGGATTCAGGCAATAGCTAGCCTAGAGTGGCTGTGATTTGCATTTGGACGTTGAAGCGGGTCTAGGAAAGGCTATTGAGGGTAACTCCTATTTGATCTCAAAAACAATAAATGAAGTAGATGCTTGATGGTTCCTGCTTTGGTGTTATACTCTCTTACTTTTGAGTGGGAGACTTGTGCAATGATAAGGTCGCTGTTTATTTTGTGGTAAGACCACGGGGATTTCCTGTCTCCTTTAGGTGCGAGACTAATCTCTACTTAGTCGCTTGACTTTAACATCACTAGAAGGTGGTTCTAGAGGGTTTTGAGCTCCTGCAACACAGGTAAAATCTACAGCCTCTTGACCTGGTGGTCATTGGGCCTAGTTCTGGAAACAGCCTCTCTGCTCAATGGGATCAAGGCTGTGCACATTTGATAGAGCCTTGTGTGCTTGATCACTCTATTTTTTGTCAACACCCTGGAGGAGGAAGATTTTAATTTGTTCTCTAGAACAGAGAGGAAAGTAGACATTTCCCTTCATAAATTGGCTACTGTTGAAATCAGTCAACATTTGATTTTGTTATTCAAATAATTAACTTCATGTTAACTTATCAACGAGACTGTATTATTGCTTAGGTTAGCTTAAGCTCCTATAACTCCTTTGCCTCACTGAAAAATAGAGTTGTTGGCCAGTCATGCTATGGCAGGGTAGTTGTGTCAATGACTGCATTTGAAGATACTTAATTGGTCAAATTTTAATGTGCACGAACATAATCACTTAAATGGTTTTGGTGAAATTTATCTATTGATAAAGGCTAATGACATTGATTGATCCGTGAAATCAATTACCTAGTGGGAGAGGGCTTGACTGTTGCTGCGATTGTGGAAATACTGGAAAGCCAAAAATCTTTTGATATCAAATATCAACTATAGGGCATGATAACGTACATGATATAATTTACTGGTCAAAATTGTATCAAATTGTGATATCAAGTTTAATAAATTATACCAGATTGACAAGTTGCAGATTGTTTTATTGACTGTTATAATTACATACTATCTATTTTTTTAGTTTTTATTTTTCAGATTTGCATTGACACCTCTAATTTATGTCCTTAATGATTCAGTTTAATTGGACATGCAATATCTGGTCGGATGCAATGTTATGATTGTCCTTGATTTAGCATATCATTGTCTTAATTGCTTATAAAGGTCCAATCTGTTATGTGCTGCTTATTTTGGTTGATGTATCCTTGCAGGTGTGGAATCTTTTCAACATTGTCTAGAAGAAGACTTTCAGATTGTCTAATACCTAAAGATGGGTTTATATGAGCATTCAGATGTTCTTCAGTGGGGTATTAATCTTTTTGACAGTGACCCTGGTTATAGTCCAGGATACTACAGTGATGTAGTTCAACATGATAATAGTGATGTCTATAATGGACACTACTTCCCAAGCCATTACGATACTGAACGTCGCCAAATAGAGAATGATGAGATCATTGCACGGGCTCTACAAGAAGAATTTTCACGGCTAGATATTGCTGAGTGTTCAAGGTATTCACAGACAGATGATGAACGGTTCCATGCTTCTGAGCCTGCCTGGCATAACACATCAATGATGAACTATTATTCAGGAGGTATCATTTAAGCACAAAGCTGTTGTGTACTTTATAGTTGAGGTTTATCTTTTTGCTAGAATTTGGTTGATTCAATCAGTTTTTTTCATATTCAGGTCATGATTATGCCCAAGATAGAGTGGATGACGTTGAACCTTCTAGTTCATGTTGTAGTCCTTGTGAAGCAGAGGACTGCTTCTTGGAGCTTACTGACAATTATCCACTAGATGATGAAATTGGGAGGAGATTGAGTCAGATGATTCCAATTCCTGTATGTTTGGTCTCTTGTGCTTTTGTCAATTTCTTTTTGGGGGCCGCTACTGGATACACGCGCCCGCACACACACACTTGTATTTTATATATATATCGCACCCTTTAATGGTCATTTAAGTAACAAATGGCTTAGTCATTATGTTCTATTTTGGTATTTTTGCCAGCTTACAGTGATAAGCTTCTCTCTGAATTACATTTTCTACCTTTTGTTACATTAATTGATATTTAGAGTAAGTCATGATTTTGTTTTTAAAATTTTAATTGTGAATTTTTTAAGCATTTAATCTTACAGTTCACCAGTTTTCATTCACAGTGATGAATGAAGCAGTTTCTGGTTTGGATATTCCACTCCAATACATGGTGTTCATTTTTGGAGGAGGGGTGGGAAGTAAAAAGGATTAGTTAATTTTATTTTATTTTTCGCTCTTGCATGTTGGTTTCTGCAAGCACTCAGTTTTACAAGTGCTAGATGTTGTTATTTTTCTTTTTTGTTATAATGATTTTTTTCTCTTTATTTTCATTCTACTCTGCAGTACATGTAGTATGTGATTTTAGAAAGTTCATTTATTTTGATCATTTGCATGATCTGTGGATTTGACTATGATGCCTAAAAGTTGCTTTTTTACCCTCTTTTGTAGCATGTTCCAAAAATTAATGGGGAAATTCCTTCAGTTGATGAAGCAACTTCAGATCATCAGAGGCTTCTGGATAGGTATTAGTCATAAGCATTATTACTTCTTAGAGAAAAAACTAATAAAAATGCTGGCAAGATGCATGTTTCATTGTCCAATGATGAATAACTGCCATCAGAGTGAGACTATTGCAACATATGAGCTTCATTGTGGTTTTTTCAATTGTTTGTTCGTAATTTTTAATGTTTAGGCTGATTGAAAGAGTAATTTAAGTCTTGTATATTTTCTTTTATCAGACTTACACTCAACATGCCAAATTAAGCCCCTCGTATTTTTAAAAAGATTGCAGTTATATGACTTTGTGGAGCATATGGTTCAAGGAGATGGTAATTGTCAGGTTTGTTGCTTCTAATATTCACTTCTTTCCAGACTTTTTGTTTATTGACATGTGCAGAGCAGTGCTCATCAGCTTTAGATTGTTAGTTTCTATATTTATTATAAATATCAAATCATAATGTTTTTCTGTTTATTCCTCTCCAGTTCCGTGCGTTATCTGATCAATTGTATAACACACCTGATCACCACAAGTATGTGAGACGACAAGTTGTGAACCAGGTTTATTGTCTAGCCTAGTGGATTATGTTTATTATGCTTGCCTAAATTTTAATGTATGTTCTGCCTTTTGGTGGACTATCTTGGGTTTTGATTATTGAATGGTTTAACCAGCTGAAGTCTCATCCAGAGATTTATGAGGGATATGTTCCCATGGAATATGGAGAATATTTGGAGAAGATGTCTAAGTAATCATCTGCACACTCCCTCTTTCGTCTATCTATATATAAAACTTCTTTTGAGCTAACCAATAGCTCCTTTTGCTTTCATTGACAATGAAACTAGGAGTGGTGAATGGGGTGATCACGTTACTCTTCAAGCAGCTGCAGATTCGGTATAAGTTTTGCAACTTACTATTTTCTTCCATAGAACTTTGAATATGTTCTATTATTATTCCATTTTTTGCGAGGCAATTTTTTCTTTATTTCTATTTTGCGCAACTTCTGGAGAAATGATGAAACAGTGGTGTGACCATTTGATTTTGACTAGTGTGATTTGCAAGTTTCAAATTTGCTTGCTTGCTTTGTGCTTAACAAATTATTCTGTTACAGTGATCATTTCTATTTTTTGTATAAAATCTCTTATTTATTTGCTGTTGACAGCCAAACTCTTGTGCCTACTTAACAAAATGATGATGTAATATTTTCAATTGTGACACTTAGTGTTACAATGGGTGTTAATAAATAATACCTAGTCCTTAATACAGGGTTGTAGTTCTTTGAAAGAACTTTTGATTTAAATTTGAAGTATTTGTGTGGCAAAAGTTTCAGGCATAGTTTGCTTGGTTCAAGCCTGTTAACCCTCTTTCCCTATTTAATTATGCCTGAATTGCATTTTCAGCTGTCATTCTGTGCACTCAGATGATGCCATTGTTTAGTTTGTAATAATATTTGAAATTTGAAATGACATGGTCTTTTTACTTAAGACTAATAACCCTGAAAAAAATTTCCTTCTTTTTTCTCCAGTATGGTGTGAGAATATTTGTGATGACTTCTTTCAAGGACACCTGTTGCATAGAGATTCTTCCTCATTTTGAGAAGCCAAGAGGTAAGATGTACTTCCTTCTGCTCTAAAATTTTCTTTTCTTTTCTTTTTTTGGGCTCATTGTCTCTTAAAAATTTTCTATCTCCTTAGCTAACTACTTAACTCTGTTCATATCACACTGTTTCTTGAAATCTTCCTAAACCTAGACCCAATTTGACATTCTTTTACATGCATTGATGCCTTCACAAGATGCTAATGAACAAAACTGTAACTTCGGTATCGGTTTATAATTCATGGATTTCCTCAGGTAGAAAGCTGGAGTCCTAATTATTGAAATTGTTTGGATAAAGCTCGATCTGTGTGTGATGTGATCAATATGTTATATTAGCTGTTCTATGAATTTTTGGACCATGGATTTTTTTTTCATTTTTTTTGGGTATTATTGCTTTACGACCATTATTTTTATTGTTCATCAATCATCCTATAATTAACTTGCATTGTGTGTTCTTATTGCAGTGATTTTCCTGAGTTTTTGGGCAGAGGTGCATTACAACTCCATATATCCTCAAGGAGGTACTTTTACAAAATTTTCATATTTAGCTTGATTCCGTTTGAAAACCAATGGTTTGACAAATCTTGTGTTTGGCCAAATTACCACTGATTATCCATAAAATGATATTTAATTTTGTTGACAATCTGGAGTTGACTTCAACTCCCTAAGCCAATTGGAATTCTTTTTTTCTTTTTCAGCATTTAGGTATTTATTTAATTTTCCAAATATATGGTGTGGGTTGGTTTATCATATATGCATTTAACTTATTGGTCCAGATATACCTTCAAGTGAGTCAAGAAAGAAGAAAAGGTGGTGGAACTTTGGAACTAAGCATTAATAGTGTGGCTGGCATAAAAAGAGCACCGATTTTCAACCTTTAATGTGCCCAAAGTTTGGTGCCTATGCATTTTGGACCATTGGATTATGTATCCAAATTCATCCAAGAGTAAGCCAACAGCCAATAAGGATGCCTTCAACTCAACAGGGATACCAAACCTTTGGGTTGCCATAGAATAGCCCCTAATTTATTATGTTCGAATTTCTTTGGCGGTCATTTTTGTATGAATAATTTGTTTTCTTTTTTATTAATTATAAATATGGATGTGCTGAGCCAGCTACATCCAAGTGGACATTTTGGATGTTTCCTGGTAAAAGATAAATTTTATGCGTAAAGGGTTAAAGTATAGCAAAGTTTGTTTCATGTCAGGTTATTCAAATATCATTCATATTATGATATCCACCAAAGTTTGTTAGATTGAAATAACAAGTGGTTATGCTCTGATTTTGTACATGACAATTCTTTCGTAATTTAAAATTGCTAGGTTTAGGCTCTTTCTTTCTTTTCTTTTTTCTTTTTTTCAATAATATTGAGATTGAAGTTTTGAAATTAGTCTAACAGGACTTATATCAAGTATTGAAATTGAAATTTATGAGACATTAGATAATCATAATCTTTAAAAAAGAGAGTTTCAAAAGATAACCATTAAAACACCTTACATGTCCGTTGAAAATGTTTATAAAATAGAAATATAGAAGACTTTAGCAGCTTTAAACAAATTAAGCATTCTCTACTTGTTTATTATTTAGAATTTTTTTTATCTCTCGTCTTCTATCCATGCATGCTCATTTTAAATATTAAAGAATCATTTTTCAATAGTAATAACAGGATAAAACTTTCATCAATTTTTTAATCATAAATAACTTTGACCAAATGCAGGGCATAAAAGGTATAGGTCCTGTCAATCCACAAAAAAGTTGCCTAGTTAGAGGACACCAACGATCATGCATGTAGTTTGAGTAATTTAGGGTCTGACCCTGACCCCAAAAGTTGTTGAATGACAAAAAGTTTGTGTAAAATTAGGTCAAAATGTTGATTGGTAGAGGGTTTAATATTGATGTGGAAAAACGATTTTAGTGTATATTTTATTGCATGCAATACAACAACTATCTCCTACAATAATGTATCATTTCTTTTCACTTTTTACAATTTAAATAACTCATCTCTCTAGAAGTGTAATTAATATATATATATATATATATATATATGGAATTAGTCCCACAAGTTATCTAATCTCTTTATTACTCTTTTTTTATTTATTTATTTCAACTTAAACTTCTTATTTTTATTTTAAGAAAATAAAATTATATAATATATTAAAAATTTAACTGAAAGTTATATATCCATATAAATTTTATCGTACTCATTTTTTTTTGGGAATAACTTTTCCCATTCTTCTCCACCAAAGCTCTAACCTCTGCCGCCAGCTATACAGTGGAAATTAAAGTTAAACATATGTTTAAAAATACTTTAAAAAATTATAATTAATAATGTTAGAAGTAAAAGTAGATCATCCAAACAAACCCCAACAACTGAGTAGGATGGAAATCACTTCACTCTGGGATATGAAAATCAATGGTGCCATTTCATGATAATTGTGGCATCAATCATAAATCCTAGGAACCGATATTCAGGATGTTATAATTGAGTTGTTGTGTTGTTCGACTTTTGTTTGCTGGGTTGGAAGTTTTCATGCAACTTGAGTCCTTTTTTGGTTATAAAATACGGTGCCTGAGAAATAATACATGAATCAGAGGATTACTTGACATTAAGTATTTAACGCACACATTTATACTACTTAGTATTTTTTTAACAAATATGAGATTAATAATTCAACTGTTAGTTTAAATATTTTTTTTAAATATATAAAAATTAATAAATATTCCATCTTATTACTTTATTTAATGACAATATTTTTTAAAATTTAAGAAAATATTAAATTTTAAATAATATATCTATAAATGTTTAAATCATATAAAATTTGATATACTTTTTTGTGTCAAAATTCTCTTTCAAAGTATTTAATATAATTACATTCAATAGAACTCAAACTTAATTAAATAATAAAATATAATATTTTTAACATAAAATATAAATATAAATTTTATAGGTTTCAAATAGTAATTTTTATTTTTCTAAAAATTAATTCTAGTTTCTAAGCTGATAACCAAACTAATTATGGTGTAACTATTGGCGCATAAATTTTTCCAATTGTTTCATAATTAAGGATGAGATGGGGCGTGCCTGGCCACCAAGCAAACATCTACTACAAAAATTATAATAATTTTAGATAAATCATTATTATAAATAAATTTAATTATGCAATTTGAATTTATAAAATTTGACAGACGAATTACATGGACATGGAATCGCTGTGTGGCAGTGAATGAACATAGTAAAATTAGTACTGTTTAGAAATACACTGTGCAACGTGACTTTGTGGGAGAAATTTTTGGATAATCGACACGTATATATTATTTTTCACAAATCATAAAATTGTACCACGTGTTATGTTACGAGTGACGAGCACCCAAAAATTTATCGACTTCGCTAGTTATATTCTCTTCCTCTTTTGAATTGTACGAACTAAGAAGACACGTTGAGCCCGTTTTGCTATTCGCTAATGTGAAGAATATTCATTCTAATGGAGTTCTTCAGTTTTTGAAACACATTTACTGTGGTTTTTTCAAAGGAAAATGTTTACAATATTTGTCAACGGAAAATCATAGCTCTTGTTATACATTGCCATGCAGAACAACGTTAAATTTCAAGCTGGTTCGTCTATCCATATCAGTAATTGCCTGTTACTGATAACCTGTACCCACATTTGATCTGAAAATCATCGACATTATTCAGCTTGAAGCACTCATATTTGTTAACGTGCGGTAAAATTTGCACAGCGTCGTTCAATATCCTAAAATTTAACAATCCACGGATTTGTACAAGTAATATGGATATTTTTCCTTTTATTCCTATAACAGTTTAAACTATTTTATATAAAAATAACTTAATGAACGTAATATAAAGCCAGGTAATTTCAATATTATGTGTAAAAAAAATAATTAATAAAATATGTACTTCGATAAGAAGTAGATTTCTTTTTAGCCAAATTTGAATAACCAAATTGATTTAATGTAATCACAGAATCACAACAAAACTGAGAAACATTGAATCAAATCTGCCAAAAGGGAACATGATTACACATTTCAACAATCAACATAGAACTTTAGAGCAAAATCATCCATTCTTGTTTTCACACGATGTAGAAAAACCTGTCGTCCATCTTCTTCTTCTACTCCCAATCATCGTTGAATTCAATTGATTGGTCAACGGTGGGTCCAAATCCAAATCCTATTTTTGTACACATTGAAATGCCAAACCTAAAACAGGTACAAATTATATTCATATTCATACGGTTTATAATAATTTACATAAATCTCTTTCACCCCATCAAAGAACCGAGTCACTTGTAGTTGTAACCCAACACTTCCACATTGATTCCACACAACTCTAAAACTAACCCTAAAATTAAATGAAAAAACCCTTCAATGCTACCCTACGAACATGCATTAACATTCAAACCGCTATCATTGTTCGCTGAGAGTCTCTTCTTGTTGATTATCCTCCGCCGTCGTCGGCTGCAACAACAGCGCCGTGAACGGCATATGACGGTACCCGTTAGCCGCCGCGAACTCCATTCCCTGCGGCTGGCAGAGGTCAAGCCGGCAACTCGGCTGCGGCGGAGCCACCGCGAACATCCCCTGTCCTTCGCCGTCCACCGCCGTCACAGGATTGACGCGGCAGGCGACGGAGGGCGCCGAGGAGGAAAGGGAGGAGGCGAAGGTGGATACGGGAGCGGATGGGATGGTGCCGGAGCCGGTGGCAGCGATGATGGAGGGCTCAGCGTGGCGGAGAAGCCACTCGATGGTTTCACCGTCGGATCGGTGGCCGAGCTCGCGCGTGAGCTGGAAAATGCGGGCGGCGCAGAGCGGCGGCATGCGGACGCGGCGGCCGCGTCCGTTGACTTTGGTGTGGCGGTCCTTGGTTGAGCGTGTGACGGCGGAAGGTGGTTTTGCGGCGGCGAGTTGGGCTTTGGGTTGTGACTCGGTGGTGGAAGGTTCAGAATGAGAAATATTGTGTACAACAAGTTGTGAGGTCATTTTAGGGTTTGGAGATTGAGAATTTAGGGTTTTGATTTGGGTATTTGAAAATGAAATTGACCCCACAAGTCCTCCATTGAGGGGTTATATAGTAATAGTGTCGTGGATTCATTTGAGTTCAGTGGGCCTTCCCTTTTGCACGTAACACATTCTTCACTGTCCCACGCTTACACCAATTAAGTCCAATTCTACCATACCAATTCTTCTGCTACACCCAAAAATAAAATACTACTATATTCAATTTTAAATCATTTCATTTTTTAAATAATGTATATATTAATTAAAATAACAATTAATATTACAAAAATACACTGATGATGCATTAAAAATTATAATAGAAATGGATGAACAATATATTTTAATAAAACTTTTAATTTTGATTTTTTAAGCAATACCTTAAGATACTGATAAGTATTTACTTTTTTATAAGTTATTTATAAAAAATTTGAATGTCATAAATTTATTTCCAAAAATTAATTTATATTAATGAAAAATCAATTATTATATTTTCAAAAGTATTAAATGCATATACCATTCTGGTGTTTTTACTTTTTTTTTATTCAGATTAATAAAAATAATAAAATGTGTGCACACTATGCAGAAAAAATCAACGAATAAACATATAACATAAAAAAAAAGGAAGGGGTGGGAGAACGTGGAAATTCAGGTGACTTGTCTCAAATTTGGTGAGTCAACTGACATGTTGACTACTTTTGGAAATTGTGATGTGAAAACTTTTAAAAATCTGTGGTTCACGGATTTTCTTTCTCGTTATTCTCATCGGATTTGTATGAACGAAAAATTAATTAAGAATAATAATTTTTAAAATAAGAATATAAAAAACTATTATTATTATTTCTTTTATCAGATGAATATATATTAAAAATATTTTTAATAACTATAAAAAATTTAGTCAAAATATATTTCTTGATTAAAAATTATTTTAAATTTTAAATATTTTTATATTATATAAAATAGTTTTAAAATAAAAAATCTACATTTCTTTCTCACTTAATCCTCCTTTCCTTTGAAAATAAGTTTAGTTTGAAGTGAGTCTCACCTTTTTTAAGAATATTTTTTGTACTGTGACTTAAGAATAAATTATTATATAAAATGTTATTTTTGTTATAATCAATATAAAACTATATTTATAGTGAATTTTAATTGATTAATAATGTATAAATATTTTCCGTTTATAAAATTAAAATATTCTTTAATTCTTTTTTTGTTTCTCCACAACTAAACACGTATCATTATTTTAAAAAATTTTCCCCTTCTTTTAAGCATGAGATAAACGTTACATTAATCAAATAGATAAATTATATATTATTGAGCGTCTGGATTAGCTCACCCTGGTTTTTCTACTTTAATTTGTGATTTCAATAAATGTACTGTGTTATCTGTGGTTTAGGAAAAATAAATAAACTATATTAATCGATTATAAATAAATTTATGGTTCATTAGTTATGCATCAATAATTAATGATCTATTATTAATCAGAATGCATCAGCTTTAAAGATGAATTTCTCCACATCACATTTTATTTAAAGAAAATATTGATTATTAATGTATAATTTTAATTATTATCATCTCTAACTAGATATTTACGGAGGAAAGAAGAACTTTTGGCAACAAAGCTTTAGCTTGGGGGTTTCTACATGAACATAAATTAATAATTAATGTCTACATTTTAAATATTTAGGTAAATTTAAAATATATATTATCAAATTTAATTATTGAAATGAAATAAAAAAAAATTTGGGTTAAGTTTCAAAACTAATAGTATGTCCTTAAAATTGAAGTCTAACATTGTTAATAAAAAATGTATAGTAAATTAAGTCTAACATTTTCATGTCAATATGACATTCATTTAATTTATCTTATCTGATAACGTTTTCTTAATCTAAGAGCTTTGGTGTTTGGAAACCAATATCACATTGAAAATTTATATATTGTAAGACTATTTCCAAGTTTTTTTTTAATACAATTGTCTTCTTGAGTAGTATCTAGCAAAATAACAAATATTAGATTCAATTTAAACATTATTTATCTTGCAATACTTTTTCAATTTTCCCCCCTCAAATTTTATGATATTGGTATTCCTGTAAAATAAAAATTAAACATAATTTCTCAATTTAAAAATCCACTCTCAATAAAAGAAAATGCAGTTTGACATAGTATGTGTATAGCGTAATCAAAATTGAAAAAAACAAGACTTTAACTAAATACATTACCTCTTGACTAACATTTTCATAAAAATACATTTTTTTAAAGGTCATATTTTTTAAAACAAAATTTAGTTTTTATATCGATTTCAATAATTGTTTTTCTTCATCATGAAGTTTAAAAAGTATATGAAAAAATTGTTTTCTTGTTTCTTTACATACGTAATAATACCTTTTAGTCTCTTCCTAACATTTCCATTAATACCTTCTGATTATATGTTCTTATCAATGAAATTAAAAATAAATAATATTTAATGTTAGTCTTGATGTATATTAATGAAAATTTAAATATTTTCATATCAACTTAAGATTATATATAATTTGTGTTGTAATTAATTCAATAATAAATTTGTAAATATTCAACAGTGTAAGAATATGTTTTTAATGAATATAATTGAAACACAGTGATATTATAATGAATTTTTATATTATCCTTTAATCATTAATTGTCATATAATAATAACTATCAACTTTTATGATAATTAATTTAAATGATATGTATAATTTGTACTCTAATTAATTAATAATATACTTTTTTTAGACTGGCAACGCATTAAAATCAAATTCATATTTAACTTGTACAAATATAAATTTATTTGTTATATGTGTGCTTAAAGAGAGGGTTCAACAAGAGAAAAAAAAAACAATAATAATAATAGTTCAATTATATTCTATTTATCAAATGTATTGTTGATTTTTGAAATTTATTATTTCACAAAAGTTCTATATTTTAAAATATGTGCAAAAGAAATTGAAATAAAAAATTTTAACACAAAAGTTAAGTGATGACAAATTTTCAAAATTAAGTATAATTTATTAAATATATATTTTCTTATATAAACTAATTTACATTTATCACATTTTCTCTCCGATGTATACACTTGAAAGAGTGTGAAACTTTCTTTTCATAAAAATACAAACACGCAAAAAACAAATAATTGAAACACTACATGGAAATTGAATTTTTGTTTTGGTTTATTTTTTTTTTTGTCAAAGGATTTTTGCTTTGGTTAAACAATGGGGTTTAGTGGACTTAGACGGATCATGGGCTTGGAGAAGCCATTTTACAAAGGATGGGCCATATTGTAGGAAGAGATGACCCGACCCAACCCAAATGAAGATGGGGCAAAAACAATATTAATATCATGGTAAATAGAAAGAGCAACCTAATCCATAGTCGGAAAATGAAACAATTCAGAGGTCTGAAATAGGCTACGTCTCTTCAAAGTTCTTTCCTTCTGCTTTATCCATATCTATCCAAATAGCAACCTTCCCATCATCATGCCAAATAAACTACACTTTCATTTCTCCTACACAATGAGCACACTGCAACCTACTTCTACTACTACTGCTACACTATCTTCTTAATGTAGCATGTGTTACATTCTCCTTCTTTCTCCTCAGCTATGGAATTTGCAAGGAGCATGTTTTGTTCGTCTCCACCGTTTCCTCCAAAAACTCATCATTGGAACACTCTTCCTTCGTCTTCTTCTACTTCTGGTGCTGTGGTTATAACTCAATTACTCTCTTTATTTGTATTCAGTTATTATGTGTATCTTTAAAAGCAAATTATAATTAGCTCTGCATTAATGTTCTGTTGTTTGATAAAAAAGATAATATTTTTAGTGTTATCGTTCTAGTACAAGATAATTTTAAATTAAGGGTTGTGGAGATAAAAGTGGCATGGCTGGAAAATTCGTAATGTGTCAATATACATTGCTCATTTTTCATCATCATACTTCCATGGTTCTACTCAATGCTACTTTTACCCTTTCTGGCTACTTTCTGAAAAATTTTCCACTGTTTATCTCTACCAATTTACATTGGAATCTATATTGTATGTGTCGTATACTTTTATTGTAATTCTTTTTCACTTGTGAATAATGGGTTTTAACATTATTGAAATTCTGTAAGCTAATTAGTTTCATAGGCTTTTTATGTTCCTGTGCTGTGGGTGCACACGCAGCCTTCCTTTATTTGTGTTGTCAATTTCTGAGTGTTTGGAGGACAAGGGAAGGAGGGGGGGTGGTGGTGGAAGTTTTTTATTGTTAATAAATTTTATCTAATTTGATAATCTTTAAAATGCAATAAATAAATGATAGATTACCAATGCATAAACTCAATGTCATAAACATTAAATAGATCTCTTAATTTAAAATTAAAAAAAGATTTTCCTTCTCTTTTCTTCCAAAACCTATATCTCATACCCTTAAAGAATTCCTTTTGCTAATTTGTAGATTTCCATTTACTCCTAGCTCCACACAAATTCTCATCTTTGATCTAAGTACTTTGTGTGTAACTGTGTATTCTCCCTCTGAGTAGAAAATGTGTTACATGTCTATGCTCATAAACCTGCAGTTTTGATGCTTCGCGAACAAGCTTCCCCTACAGTTGCCTCTTGGTCTTCTAGTATTTCAGCACAGAATTTTCCTACCTCAGTTCTTTTACAAGAGCAGCGTGATGAATATAGGCCTCTGTTGCACATGTCTAAGGAAGACAAGTCATCGCAGGTTCAGATTTTATTAATGCACTAACTTTGTCAAATTTAGGCTTTTTCAAATTCATATGATGAGATCCTTCACATTCTTGTTGTCAAACCAATAAGAATCGATTGACGGTCCATTCTTGTTATAATCTTAATTTATAGGTTTTTCCTACTTCATCACATAATGGACACAGTATTAATGAATTTTCCCTATAATTTACTCCAGGCAATTTTAAATACAAGGCAGATGGATATGGCCTCGGTTCATGAAACGAATAACATTGTCAATACTGATCAGGTAGTGCTTGACTTTAGGAAGCACCTGCATCTCTGGCCTCGTTTACAGAGCTTGTAAGACAAAATGTTGTTCTTCCACATCAATTTAATCATTTAGTTATTGCTAATTGTAAATTTCGCCCATCCTTAGTTGCCTCCTTATAGGTGCATAAATGGTCTGTTGCAGATTAACTTCCCCACCAACAGGAGAAATTGCTGCTTCATCAACTCTACAGCATGTTTCTATCGACGCAGAGAGGCCTACAGATGGTGTGCAATGTAATGGAGTTTCTCTTGCTAAGAAAGCTTTGTCTGGCTCAAAACATGCATCCTCAGTAGTTGAAGACTTGAAATCATTTAAAGCTGATGATGATTCAATTCCTTGTGGGTTAGTTCTATCTTGGCCAACTCTGACATCCTTAATTTATTTTTCCTGTTTATAGGTTAATTTGTTTGAGATGTAATGCCTAAACTAAAAACTTCCTTTCAGTCTGGCCTCTACTAGTTTGGCTGACCCTTCACTTGGAAGCAATAAAACTGTGAGGTCAACACGGCTTCTAGAGAGACGGTTGAAACAAAGAAAAGTACCTAAGTCAAAAGTTAAAGATGATGAAACCTACCTTGCTAGAAAGAATGATGCAAAGGAAAGGTTACGCATGGAAAGGAAGATAAATGAAGAATTTGATCAAAATGATCCCCTGCGCTCGTTCTTGTGGGCTCCTGAAACGAAACAACTTCTAACACTTGAACAAGAATCTCAATTGATTGCACAGATACAGGTGTTATGATAGTTACCCTGAATTTCTTACTTCTTTAAACACATGAGATGCTCTACTAATGTGGAATCTGCAACAGGACTTACTGAGATTGGAAGAATTGAAAACCCGGCTTCAATCTCAGTTTGGAAGGGAACCAACTATGGCTGAATGGGCTGAGGGTGCAGGACTTAACTGTCGAATGCTGCATGCACAACTTCGTTGTGGTAACAGAAGCAGAGAAAAACTGATTCAAGCAAATTTACGCATGGTAGTTCATGTTGCTAAAACTTATCAGGGGCGTGGTCTCAGCCTTCAGGACTTATTACAGGTAACCTTTGAGAAATTAAAACCTTCCTCTGTAGCAAAGGCTGTTTAGTGTTTACACGTTTCGTCCTGGTTTTTTATATTCTAAATTATTTCTCAACTTAGAAGAATCCATAAGTAAATGTTTTGATTGGGGAAAAAGAGCTTCGATTAAAGAATTGTAATCATTCTCTTCACTTCAGTGTTGTCAATTACAATCAGCTATGTGTTTTATATTTCTTTTCTGGTGCTGTTACAGGAGGGAAGTATGGGTCTTATGAAGAGTGTTGAAAAATTTAATCCCCTAGCCGGTTGCCGATTTGGTAATTATGCATTCTGGTGGATAAGGCAGGCGATAAGGAAGGCTGTATTTCGACATTCCAGGACAATCCGTCTGCCGGTAAATTTAGTTTTCTTAATTTAAGCTTCACCTTTGTGCCACTGTTCATAAAATTTTATAGTTTGTTGACACAATAAAAGGGATGTTACCATTTCATTAATTTTTCTTGTAATATCTTTGCTATTTACAAAGCTAGCATCAATCATATTCTAAACGCATAACCCATGTGTAATCCCCAGGAGAAGGTATATATCCTATTGGGAAAGGTAATGGAAGCAAAGAAGTTGTACATTCAAGAAGGAAATCTTCATCCGACCAAAGAAGAGTTAGCAAGAAGAGTAGGAATTACAGTAGAAAGGATTGACAATTTATTATTTGCTGCAAGAGTTCCAATTTCTATGCAGCAAACTGTGTGGGCTGACCAAGATACAACTTTCCAGGTATTGCATGCAAACTAATTGATATGATGCGATTTCTTGGATCTTCAAAGTGAAATAGTGAAAAGTAAGTGTTGTATCAATATCATGAATGTTTAAACAAGAAGGATTTAGAAGGTTATAATGTTATTCAGCTTCCCACAACGAGTGTTTGTGCTGAAGGAGGTTTTGCTTATCCTGATAAGTATAAAAACAAATTGATGGAAGTCTAATAGCCAACTGCAAAAACATTGAAGTTACCGTATACTTTGTTCTGTTCAATTCATTACTCATTTAAATTTTCACGAGGCAATATCTCCCTTTTTGGCATGTGGGATTTTTTGAACTTGTGGAAACAATCCAAAGTTCTCTTGTATTTATTAAAGGGAATATTCATCTTTTTTACTTGGAGTCCTTTTCAAATATTACTTAAATCTGGAATTTCATGTTATAACCATATAGCTCTGTTGTAAATTTCTGTTCAGTTTGTTTGTGGATGTCGCATGTGATATCTCTACCCTTTTCAAAGCAATGTAATATTACAAATGCCACTACACAACAAATTTAACCATCATTTTTTTATAATTACAGGAGATTACTGCAGACACCACAATTGAAGCCACAGATGTGAGTGTTGAAAAACAGCTTATGAGGCGGCACGTGCTTAATGTCCTAAGTATCTTGCTCCCCAAAGAAAGGAGAATAATCCGGCTAAGATATGGTTTTGAGGATGGCCAACAGAAATCTTTATCAGAAATTGGAGACATGTTTGGTTTGTCTAGGGAAAGGGTTCGTCAGTTGGAGATCAGAGCACTATACAAGCTTAAAAAGTGCCTTAAGAAACAAGGGCTTGAGGCATACGTAGACTTGCTTATATGAGTAGGGTTAAGTAGTTCACAGCTGAGACTTCCGGAATTTGAACAATGCCAACATCCAACTTTTGAAGGCAAATTTAGTGTTAAAACGTTCTGGGTGAAGACAATCCAGAGAGGCCTAGTGCTCCATCAAGAAAATTGAAGTGCCTATGTATCAAAGAGGAGATGAGGGTTATACAATCGTGAACACGGGAAAACGTTGAAATTATCTTTATTCTTAAAAAAGATTTTTTAACATTACATAAATAATATCTTGTATACGGCCTGACTTGTATTCTAAGATTATTTTGATTTAGTTTTCATGATAACGTATTTTGCTTGGAAAGTTACAGTTTTACAATATAAACAAACATTAATATCTTCACGTATAATGAGCAAGTATATTGACTGTCCTGAATAAAAATAAAATCAAACTCAATTTATTACGATGTAAGTCTAACAGTTGACTACTGCTATTACTTTTGTCACACTAATTAGTATTATTATTTGATTCACACAAACATGCAAATCAGCGAGGTTCGATTGAAACAGAGTTTTAACTTCAGAGGTCTCGTTGACATAATATGCACACAGAGGAAGGTGATTCTCCATTATAACGTTGCAACGATAAAGGGTGAAAAGATTAGAAGGAATGCCCCCAAAATCTCTCAACTTTGCTGCACAAGTCACGCACCTTGTCGCTCTCTCTAACCCTTACAAAACCGTTGCTGCCAACGTGTTTGATCATGACATGAAGTTTCTGTTCCGGAGGCAGCGGGGTGACTCCAAGAAACAGTGTTTCATTTTCACGGAATCCATTTTCTTCAATGATTTCATGATCTCTTAACATTTTGTTGCGAAACCAAAGGTTTTGCCTATACACTTCCACGTCCAACTCTTTCTCAATCTTCTCCTTAAGATCAAAAATGGTTTTTGATGATGACGTTTCTATCTCAGGCACTACCTCTCCCCCAGCTATTTTGAAGTATACCATAGTTTCAAATGAACAATGAAAAATACAAGGAAATTTGAATGCATGTGTAGTTGACTATGGTGACATTTTATGGACTATTGCATGCAAACTTGGCGGGTGCAGTTTGTGAAAATTGAGATGCCAAACTAACACAGTCACAAACCTTGTGTTGTTTAGTGTGAATTTTGTGATATATTCGTTGATATCATCTCATTTGTTTTCTATGAATTTATCTGTATATGACATGTGTTATCTAATATAAGAAATAGAAATATATTTATATATATATATTACGATCATCCAACTATAAGTTTCACATAGAACAAGGGTGGCATGCTTTCACATGGAGGTAACGTAGTTTAAATTGAGAGAAAAAAAAGAAGCTTTATTGGCTCAACCATTTGAGGCCCATCTTTTGGATGGTCTCCAAACCCAATATTATGCTGTCTATTTCATGATATAGTGTCTGTATTTCACATCTTTTGTTGTTTAATACCCACAAATTAAGAAAGTTTAATTGATGTGAAATATTATAATATTTTGATTTAATACCGATATTTATTAAGAGAGAGAAAGTGAAATATGATTAGTAAAAGAGAAAGATGATTGGTAGAATGAAAGAGGTATTAGGAGGCACAAAAAATTATTAAGTGAGGATATGCTTAGACAAAAATAAATTAACCAGGGCTTGAATTTCTAAAACTATGAAGTTTTGAAACAAAAACTAAAGTCTAAACAGCAATAGTTTACGAAGAAAGTAGTTTTTTTCTATGAATCTAATAAATTAATTCGAACTCGAAACCTTATTTAATAGTAAGGATAGCTAAGATCAACAGGCATTTATAACTTCGTGGGTCATATTTGCACGCTTCATTATGTAAAGTAGTTTACCATTACCTACAGCCCTGTAATAAATTATATTAGACCAATCTAAAATCAAATTGAACTTGACTTTCCTTCCATGGCACTAACTTTAGCTCACCACCTAATCTGTACCAAGCCTTGCAAAAAGCATTTCTCACATGAGAAAAGCAAACATGTACATAGCAAAGAAAGTACACACATTTTCAATACTTTTTTTAATCATTAATTTGATGCAAAATAATACAAGGTATAAATAACACGTAAATTACCAAATAATGTTTGAGAAAGATGATGCACTAATGGTTTGCAAATAGCTATTCTTAGTTGATTTTCCTGTATCTTCAACCAGAACCAGGTGTGCCTTAAGATCCTTAAAGGGTATTTTTTAAACCTTCGCATATATTGGTGGTGATCATAAAGCTCAATTAAGTAGTAGGTTATGCCAGGTGAATACCCATCACTGAAAAGGTATCCTAAAACCCAAAGAAGCTAAAGACAAGCTTACTAGTTACTACAGATACAATATAGCCTCCTCTCCCTCTTTACCTTTTTTACGGACATTGCATAAATTTAATTTAATTTTTATTATTTAAAGATAGCCTTCAAATAACAAATTAACCCTTGAGTTATCTACATATCATTAACTTAATCAAAACATACAACATCCACTATCTCTCTAAATATGTACTCACCAAAACTTCCAAAAAAGGAGTGAGGAATGTGAAGATGCCAAAAGGTGAATAGTTCTGCACACGTTAGATACTACTATATTGCAAGTGTGACCCATGACCATGACATTGCATGCCAACACTTCATCAAGGAGATTTCATTTCATGGTTGCCACGAGCAATATCTTCTGCTTTCTTTTGGCAATAAGCCACACACAACATGGCATCAAGGGGAAAAAGAAAAGTTCCATTATTCTTATTTACACTAGATTCTAAGAACAAAAAACAATTCTTAGGGGCTGAATAGGATCTATATATACATTGTTTCAGCTGGCCAAGTCCATCACACACCAAATTTCTTTTGCATATATGAGGCAAACACATAGGCTGGGCCAGCAGTTATATGACAATGTATGACAACGTTGTCAAATCTAACATCATGTACTTGTCTTGCTTTCAGTAGATAGTAAGAAACTATGTTCACATATACTTAAAAATAAGTAAGAAATAACAATGAAAAAAATATAAAAAATCTTAAATAGTGAAAGAAATTAATCAACACCCACCAATTTAATCCATAATCATTCTCCATATCCAAGAAATCTGTAGCCAAATCCGAAAATAAGTGACTTCATTTTTCTGGTGGCTGATCAACATAGTGCCGAGGAGGGTAAAACTAAAACACGTATCAACCTAAACCTTGGCCCATTCTATTTTCCAATGCTTCTGACAACTGATGGGTTGCAATAGTAACAGTCCATACCTGATCTAGAATATCCACAAAATTACTACCCAAATAGATATCTACTCTGCTATATATAAATACATGGTGGAAGCAGAAGCTTCAATGTTTCTACCACTTTAATATATTGCTGTATGGTGGCATATCAGGAATAGTACATTTCACAAATTGCCAGAAAATCATTCATGGCAGTGGAGGAAAGCAACACAAGCCAAAGCAATCATCAACAACAGCAAGTTTGTGATCCCTGCAAGTCCTTTGGCCAAAAGTGCAGTCACCTTGTGAAGAAACAGCGAGCAAAATTCTACATTCTTCGCCGTTGCATAGCCATGCTTCTGTGTTGGCATGAGCGCAGTGAGCACTGAGCCAAGGCAACCAATTTAGTCACACAATAATTGGCAGTGTCATCTTAGTTATTGTTAGTATTATAAGATTGTAACAATAGAGCGCCACCATGTCATTCTAGAAATTGTAACATTGTTCCATATGTTATGTTTAACATGTGAAAGAGATCAGATCAGTTTCAACAATTTCCAGTATTGTTGAGTAGATCTTCTTTTTCAGATGTAAAGGGTCTTTGAAACTCACGTTTTGAGGTTTAGTTCATCATGGTACTGAAATTTATCTGCATCAGCATCTATCTGCTTTTAACTCTTGAAAACTTTAAATTTAATTTTTTCAATTCTTAGTAAGGCTAAAACAGAAAGTAAGCTTCACTGATGAAATTATGATTTATAATGCAATTTTCTTTAATTGTAGAGACTCATATCTTTATACCTGGCTGAATTATAGTGCATAAAGTAACTTTGCCTTTATATTCGAACCTTTTCCTCATGAAGTGGGTATCTTTACAATCATGGCTTTATCTTTAGAGTTCAAAAGGAAACTTATTACAGGGATCACATTCTACAGTTAAAAAAAGAATAGTGTTCTTGCAATGCCTCCATTCATGGTCATCATTGCTTCTTTGCCCTTGTGATCTAATTTTCTCTTGTGTAATCACAGATGATAAAGCAACACCAATCAGTAACAATGTTGCAGGTGTCCGCAGAAACATATAAACTTTCATTGAAGAGAAAAAGAGGAAGAAAATATAGCTAGCCTTATTCCCCTTTTCCTCCAAGCGTTGCCAAGCTTCTAAATGATAAGAAAATTAAAAACAAAGAACCAGTTGCTGCTTGCAATAATATGCAGTAACAGAAGAGAGCTAGCTTTAGAAGTAGCATTTAAAATATAGTACCCGTTTGAATTAAATTTTAGTAAAATTAATTTTAAACCATTGAATGTAATTGAGATATATGAAAAAATTATTTTTCTAGTTAAAAAAACAAGCTAGTCTACAATTGATTCATAATAAACATCTAAAGAAATTAGAAAATAAGTCAATTTTTTTATAAATTCAAATGAATGTATACACCTAAATTTTATTGTAAGTTTTTATTATTTAACCTCTTTACAAAATAAGATATATAAATTAAATGAACATTAAAAAAACTAATTTAGCATTATTTTAAATGTTCATTGAAGAGTTTATTCAAATCATCTCACGTTTCTTAATGCAAAAATTATCATGGGTTCCGCACCTTCAAAACCCAACAGATATGATTAGTTACTTTTCAGACAATCTAATCACAATGGTCCTTGTGCTGAGGAAACATCAGACAAGAACAAGCCTCAGGTAAACTTATTTTCTTGGGTCCATTCCCTTCTATAACTTTCCACTCTCTGCTTTTTTCAATACATTTTGTGTCCTTAGATCCCTCCATCTCTTGATTAATGTTTCGTTCCAAGAAACAAATAAAACGTTTCAGTATATTCTACTGGTTAAAAAGTATTTACTGTATCATATTAAATACTGTAATATATAAATATATATTAAATAGGTTTATGCTTTTATGTAAATTATTATTATTTTTTAACTACTAGTATCTAAAGGATATAATTTATTAATTTAAAATTTCCCAAAAATTTTCAAGTCAATTAAATTTTATGTTCAAAATAAAAAAAAAATTTCTATTGATTTTTCTACTTAAAATTATTAAATTCTTGTTTTTATTCAAAATATTTACAAATTAAATAATTAAATTATTTCGACCCTTCTTTTATTCAAAACCCTCTATTCCACTCAAAAAAAAAAAAACCCCTCTAATCCAAAACGTCAAATTTT